GTCAAGGGCGCGAGCGCGTGGTTCTTAAAAGAGACTAATTTCGCCGAGACCAAATTTGGAAAATGTACTTTGAGGTCGGGAGTTGCACTTTCTTCGGAAGGTACCAGAAAAAAATACTTTAAGTGCAAGTACGTTCTCATAGAATGTACCACAAGTAAAGTACACATTTTTCTAACCCTACTTGAAGTAGTACCTTCGCTGCGTGTTATGAGAATGTGCTGCCAGACTGGTCTTTCTACTCGGGCTGTAATTCCCTTTACTTTTTAGTGTAATATATAGAAACACCGCGAATTTTCCTACAACTTTATGAGTTGAATGAGTAGAAAAATAAACACACAGTTAACGTATCAATAATTTATTAAAAAAAAAAAAAAAAACAGACTGCGAGAGGTCGGATGCGAGGCCATTCACTTACCCCGATAAAATCCTCCGTCCACTTAGCTACATCGGAATGTTTTTGATCTTTATATAACATTTCTCCCACAGAAAAGTTATCCACTGTATAAAAATAGAATGTCTCTTTAAAAAGTAAACACTAACAAGCATGGACAAAAAGAAAAAAAAAAAAGAAGAGCCAGCCTACTAACGATATGTATGGAGGTGGGACTTTCCTTCAAGGGTGTTGGTATACATGTCTTGCATGTGACGGCATCGTGCCATGCTGGTGGCCCTTCCTACTTGTTCTTGCCGAGAAAAAACATTTGGTGGCGTGCAACGTATGCTGACAAAGGTACGGGCTCAGTGCCAGCCGCCTATTGGTGAGTTGTAAGCGCGATCCATACCAACGCGTTGTTTGTTGTACGCGCGTAGGCCGTGCGCTTCCTGGCAATTGCGTATTTCGTAACGTGTTTGCTGTCTCCGGGGCGCTTTCTGAGTCACAACCATGCGCGTTGGTTAGGACGGTGCGGTATCGAACGAGCGGAGAGCATCTGCGCGGGACGGCGAAGAAACGCGGAGCCGAAACTAGTGCCCTCCACCGATTGGCCGGGAAAGGAACGCCCTACTACGTCACAGCGCGTTTTCGTGCGCCTTCAGAAAAAGTTGAAATCATCCAACTTTTTTATGCCCGCCCGGAAGGCACAAGGAATCAGCTCGACGTCACGAATTACGCAATTTCCGGGAGATGCACGGCCTACGCGCGCACAAAAACGCGTTGGTTTGGATCAAGCTTAACGGGCAACTCCGCTTCATTTTTGATATTTAGAAAACTATGTAGCCCTCTTCAGTATCATATAGGAAGACACCATGTCAAATATTACGATCTAATTCCGTTTAAATATTTAATAAACTGGCCAGCAAACTTTTAAGCGAGCCAAGTCGCCGAAATCTGCCAACTCTAGCGTGCGGCGCGAGGCGCAATCATCAGCGCAGTCAATGCCACGGAGTTGGAGCAGCCGACATTGAGCCACTACGTCAGAGGCATGACTACGGCATTCTCACGTTTTGTTTGTTTTTACTTCTCAGAGCGAAATTGAACGATGACGTCATGAGTTTCTCCTCCCGGTGTTGGCTGACCGGGCGTCCACGTGATTAACGCGGATGCGCTAGTTTGCGCTGCCCTGCCCGCTTATCGGTCTGTTTCTCCGCTCCCCTTCTCCTCTTTCGTCTTCTCCCCTTCCCCCTCTCCCCCAGGCCATCACCGTCCACGCCATGCAAAGTGACCTGCCCGCGCGTCGCGTGTATTGTTTCTCGCTCCCTCCCGAACTTCACAAGACCACGTGGTTCGACGTGACGTGGCCATGACTCTGACGACCCGAGGCCAATGTTGCCTGACGCAACTGAGGTTTCGGTTTCGGTATCAGCTGATGTTTAAATTAGGATTACACAAATAATATTCCACATTTCGCGAATCCGAAGACGTAGAGTTGTTTAGTAGTGCTTTGTGAATTTGAATCACATGTAAGCCTAAATTTTCCGGAATTGAGCGGAGTTGCCCTTTAAAGAGGCTCCAACGACGTTTTTACTGTTTTATTTTATTTATTTATTTTTTTAATTTGCACCGAACCGGAGCGCGCTGAACGTGCTTAGTGAACTTTTTTTTTTCTCGAAATTCGCTTTATTTTAAAAGTTATAGGCATATTAAAGTTACGAAAACAAGCAAACAATAACCTCCTTCATATCGTCCTTTGTCTTCTGTTCCCCCTTCTCCCGCGCCGGTTTATTCCCTTCGCCCGCGAACCGTGGAATGGGGGGAGGGAGGGGAAGACGGGGAAAGGAGCTGAGGTTGAGGAGAGAACAGTTCAGCTAGCTCTCTCCTCGGCTGACGTCAGGACCAAAAACGTCATGATTTCGTCACATGCCGCGCCGTTCGATACTACGAGGCGCCCATGTAGGAGAAGGAGGTTTCCGCGTCGTCCGGTTAAAATATGACGCACTGATATTTAGTTACTCTCTCCGTGCCCGCTGGGTTGCCCGAACCACATTCGGATATGACTCCTCTTTTTCTCCGTGGGGGAAGCCATCGCTTGCAACTCGCCGACAAGCGCCCTTCGATGGCCACCTCACTCGGAAGAAAATTCTTCCCAAAAAGGGCGTGTCGCGACCTTCGAACACGCTTTTAACAAGGAAATAAGCTACGCAGGGTTGTGGTTTCGGGTTTGTTGGGATGCTTAGAGCGTCTAGGACTGAGTTGTCACCACAAAAGGACGATCTCAGAAGCGATTCCAGTGCCCTCTCTTTTCTTGAATTTCGCTTTATTAGCTTAAAAGTTATAGGCTCGAATTTCGCTTAAAAGTTATAGGCAAATTAAAATTACAAAAACAAGCAAAAAATAACCTCCTTCATGACGTCCTTGGTCGCTTGAATGGCCGTGAACTAAACAAGGGGTAGTGCTCAGCGAGCGCTCAGGGCTGCCGCACTCCGTGTCGACGGCTCGAGAGGGCGCCACTAAAGCATGTTCTGGATAGGCTGTATGAAGCGGACAGCCAGGGCGGCTTGCATTGCATTTGCTGCGCGATTAAACACTAATTAAGCATGACACTTCACTGGCCACAAACTACAGCAAACACGCCCAGTCGAAAATTCTCATTAGATTCCAATTGGAATTTCCAATTGGTATCAGTTAGGTTTTCGGACAACCAATTGGTCACTGTAATGGAAACCAATGGGAACCAACGGGAACCATTTGAAACCCATTAAGTTTCCAACTGGAAATGTTTTTCCAACTGGTGAGACCCATTGGCCAGTGTGCTTCAATTAGAACCCACTAAAACCGATTGGTTCCAATTAAAACCAGTTAAAATTCCAATTGGATCTAATGATAATTTTTAGCTGGGCGGGGTAAGGATCAGTTCAGAACGAGAGCCACTTCGCGCTGCCATACCGCCAAACGGTCAAGCCGCAAGCCAAAGCTGCTCGCCGAAGGCCGGTCGAATCCTCCAGTTCATACGACCGCAGTACAGCCGCATACATCCGGGACCTTTCTGCGCTCGCCGCTCTTTGGTGCCTGATCCCACTACACCTTTCTAGTATGCGCCGCCTTTTCCACCGCTTGGTGGCGGGTATGTCGACGGGTCATCTCTTGTTTCCGTGCTTTTTAAACTGCATTTGTTTATTTTCTGATCTAAAATATTGAACAAAAACTAGTTTTATAAATAATTCAAACGATTCACGCCACTTATATCTTGTATTTCGACTAAAAAGAAGCTTTTAGCGGCTCTGACCAGTAGTAGGCCCAGGACCAAAGACGTCACATATCGCGCACTTTCGGCACCGCAGGTCGCCCCCGTAGGTGGAGGAGGTTTCCGCGCCGTCCGGTTAAAATATGACGCACTGATATTTAGTTACTCTCCCCGTGCTCGCTGGCTTGTCCGAACGCCAAGAGAAGTGGAAACCACAAAAAAGGTAGAAGCTTAAATATGATTAAAGGGCCCCTTTAAAGGGCACGGAAACAAAATTCCAGTGCTCATTTTTTAGCTTTCATGTGTTGCATGTTGCAGCATAACCTCAAAAATACCAGTCTTTCCTTAAAGGCACGAGAAAACTAATTTTGAAGCTAATTAAATGATCTCTCAATGTGCACCTGGTGGATGCATGTGGAGCCTATTTGGGAGGCAATCTAGCAACGTTGGGGAACTTGCTACGTAGTCATGACGTAGCAACTTGCTACGTAGTCATGACGTAGCAAGTTCCATGGGAGCAGCGCCGCTCTTTGGAATTCAACATTTTCCTTCTCAGCTTTCCTCAATTCACAAATCGCGCATTGTACTAAACAATTCAAGACAGAAAGGAGGGACTCCCCTCTTGCTCGGACCCTTGTTTGTGTACCCGGACACAGCCATTCTCCTCCCTCTAGAAGACTAGCCCGTCGCTCAAAAGTCTGACAAAAGTTGCTTGCGCCACCCCGTTCACCCCCAAGCTGACAGTGCTGCGGAAGCTACGTGCTCCTTGGGCCAGCCACACGCTCGTCACCCCACGGGTACTTCGAATGGCTTGGCTGTAACGAGATAACGCGGACAACGCCACCAACATCAAAGCTCATAACCACGCCAGCCTTGCTACATCACAAATGCAAAAAAATCTTTTTTTTTTTTTTTTTTTTTGCATTGGACATTTTATGACGCATCGCGCCCTCCGTTCGCTTCTTTTTGAGCGCTTGCTCGAGTGCACCTTTTGGAACGCTAAATATAACCAGTCGTACACAATACAAACGTGCGATTATCATTTACGGTTATTATCCGTCATGCGCCACTCATTTCCAAACGAAATTTGAATAGGTACCTCCAGACGCTTAAGCGTGCGGTGTTCAAAGCTATCCCCAAAATATGCGCTCATGTAACCACGAATTCCATCGGTATCCACTACAGCTCAGAGCTGTTCAGTGACGTGGACAGCATGTTCGACATTTCTGTTGGTTCAGGACGCCACGCACCGCAAGTATCCCTTTAATTCCATAGGTATATAAAATTTCCAAACCCTCCATGGCACTGACCTAAATTTGGCATCCATTTCATAGTTGGCAGATGAATGAGGTGGTAGCTGTGACAAAGACTACAAGCCAGTCTCCCAAAATATTGACTTTATTATAGCTCGTCAATAGCATTACACCATATGCTCTTTTTGTACATCTCTCATCCTCGAATAATCAAATAAAAAATGTAACACACTGCCATACGCAGGAGACCACGATTTCAGCATACCCTGGTGCACACAATTTGGCATATAACTTGTAAAGAACAATTATAACGTAAATGCTCCTCACACTTCGTAGACAAGCATTTCTCTGCTATCTTACAATCACGAAATGAGAACTCGAAATGCCTAAAAAAAGAAGAAAAAAATCTAGAAGCTGCATCACCACGAACATGGAAGAAAACAAGGCAGCACTTAAGCGGACAGACAAAAGTGTGTTGGAATTTGTTCCGACATAACCATGGACAATGCTTGAAACGTGCCTATGGCAGATATGCCTCTTTGTTCATGAAAGGCATTTTGGTTCGATTCCAAGATCGCATTGATAACACGAACAGCCACTGGACCCATAGGGATACTCTGGCGCATAAAGGCCGACGACCAGACTCGAGATTCTGCAAGGCAGAAGATCCTCCTCATCACGGGGGAGGAGGAAACAGGCAAAGGTGGACAGGGTAGAAGGGGTGAGAGTAGGAAGCGGGGGGAAAGTGGAAGGCCCGAATTGGTCGTCGGTCTTTAAGAACTACTGGGACAGTTGAGGCTGATATCGAATACTATTTGACATTTCATGGCATAAGCAGTACACCCATTTCGCAAAGACTAGTAGATAATTTAGAATACGGCAATCACAGACATGCCAAGGAGTAGTTATAATGTTGACACAAGAGAAGCAAAACACATTGTAAAAATTAACTTCTGTCGGGATTCATTAAACTCAAAAGTTCACTCTGAAAAACAGAAGAAGACTTCCTTGTCTTTATAAAATATTTTTGAACTTGTAGGAGTAGTGTAGGAAGACATTGACCAGGCAATTATTGAAAATACAATAGGGCTAAATACTGAATAAACATTATAGAAGCCAAATGTGCTAGATAAAGAACACCTTGTTGCATAAATCATGTTCACACAAAAAGGAAACTGTTCCACAGAAAAAACTCAATGCACAAAATTTATGAAGAAATCAGACACTGACAGCTCTATATTGGTCAGGTGTATTCATAGCACTTGTTCCAACAAGCAGTTTCTAAATGAAACCTTGTAGAAAATTTTGGAAGGCTATTTAGGTAATAAAATGAAACAGGGTATGCAGCTCAGAAACATTGCAACATTTGTACTTTCATCTTTTCTTCGCACAGACACGGGCAAGGGTTGGAATCACAATTGTAAAAAGTAGCAAAGAAATGTTTTCAGATTTGTGAAGAGGTTCAAAGGATCAGAGATGACAAATGTAAAATGTCAATGCATTTTAAAAAAGAAAAGAAGTAAAAACATTGAATTGCACTTTACACTTTTTCAGGAGCATTTGGCAGCTCTTTGCACAAGACGTGAATATGGTGTTGGGTTAAAATGGCAGTAACATTGTTCTGCACTCCATTTCATTCAACTGTGGGCCCCAGTGAAGGCTGAGAGCACAAGTTCATGAATTCTTATGTGGTCCTCTGGTGTGTCTGTTTATGCAGCCAAGGCACATCCCATTTGGCGCGAAAAGCTCGTGCTCACACCCTGCTCTGCTGTCCACTTTTGGTGAAATGAAATGCAACAGTCAGCATGGAGACTATGAACTGAGTCTACAAAGACATACAGCTTCAGATACAACTCTAGATTATTTGTAGAAAATCTAGTTAAAAATGCTACCTATACATACCAGCATTTATTGACAACCAGAGAAAGTGAAAATGTACCTTGATTCGAACCAGACTGCCACTGTGCAGCATGCATTTAGCACTCGGAGCAGTTAACAATGCTGTACTGAGTCCCGTTAGCTTTCTTTACACATCATAGTTGGAATACAAATTAGACATGTGTTCATTTACACAACAAGAACAGATGTTAGCATACTGTGTAGAAATATTCAGGACAGAAATATGCATATTGTTATACACTTATGATGCAATGACAGACATAGAAATCGCAATTGCACTGATACTGTCAGGTGAAATGTGTCAACTGTGGAAGCATGCTGATGTGTATTAATAGTAACCCCATATGGTCATGAAATGCGACAGAACGGAAAATAAAACAACCGGGACAGGTCAATAAAAAAAAATCATTGACATAATGTAAATAGAATCAGCTTTAAAAGCCGTTTTAATTTACCAAGAGAGCACCATTGTACTAGATGTAAAAAAAGGTATGATAAAAATATTATTTATTGCTTGACAGCATAAAGCTAACTATAAATAAATCATGACACTGTGAGAATGAAACATGATAATATAGTTTGAAAAAGCTCTTACACTACCTCCACAAATTAAAAAGATGTGAGGTGTGCAAAACAGTAGTGATGAAAATGAATAAAAAACGTTTTTGATTAATAGTGCTAAAATAAGTGTTCAGAGCCATCAATTCTTGCATCATGTGATATGTGAGCAGAGACCAGATATTAATGATATTAGACTCCTGTGTCTGATTGTTCCTCACTACCTACATAGTCATACAGGAGAAGGGGCAGCATTAGTTAGGACCCTCCCCCCCACCTGCTGGATACAGAACAAACATTTTCAAGAGATGGGTAAATGCAAAGAAACCTCGTACACACAAGTTCCTACAGCTTTGCAAAAGCAAATCCTGCATAGTTCTATTCAACTTCAAACCCGTAATCCATAACAATAGCTGCTTTTCCGGCACTGTAACCCTTACCACAATCTCTTCTTTTGGCATTTTTCTATGGCAACATTGTCACAAGTTTGTGACGTGCGTAATGATGCCCACCTACTCAAGCAGAATAATTAAGTTCCCATGAATCTGAGTCAGCAGACATTTTAGTACTGTTGACATGGCCTCTGTAGGGTTACTTGAAGCAAATTTGGAGGAATAAATTGCTACTTTGTACTGCACATGAAAGAGAAACAGTACTTATTGGCATCAACTTTTATTTATCCAGATCATGGATTTAAGGTCTAACATAAAGGACTACCTATATTAGTAAATTCACAGAAAACAAGAAGGTAGAAAAGCTGGTAGGAAGAACTCAGAAAGACTGGGATGCATCAGACTGGCAGTTGACATATACAGTAAAATGCTTTGCTTTTTAGAAGATATTAAAATGCCAAAATATCATTTTCTGAAGCACTCAATTAATGGATGCACCCTATAAATTACTTTGACACTTAGATTTGTTACACCAACATTTTTCATAAAAAACTACAATAAGAGAGCCAGTTTAAAGATGAAACTAACTGCACATATCACTTAAACATAGTCACAATGCTGATGCAACGAGATAACCACAGTATTTAGTTGCCCATATAATAAGGCAAGCATTGCTATCCATAATTAAACTTTATAATATATTATCTATCAAAGCAATACCCACTAAAACTCCTATTGATAAAAAGTGCTCAATTCCAAGAGCAAGCCTTTGCGAGAGCTCACGACTCAGGCTTGAACCCTAGAAAGAAATGAGGCAAGTGCTTAAAACGCTAACACAGATGAAAGTACTACTTCTTTAGGCATATAGGCTCCACTGAATACAAACAACAAACAAAACTTGAAGTGCACATGGCACAATACTTCACTCTAGAATTGCAGTGTATTGCAGCAATCTATAACATCTACAGACACAAATGAAATACTAATCTTTCACTGATAAATGCTTCCGACACAACTTAAATCATACCCTGATGTAAAAATGGGAACATGCCCCCTTGAAGAGGCCAATTAATGAACGCAACAATCACATAGAAATTAAAGCACCCAGAAGGTAACATCCCTCAATAAAGTGCATCATATAACTCTTCCTTCTTGAACTCAACCCCACCTAGAAGCCGGACTCTCCACTCACTCAAAAGATGTACTCCCTCTCCTTGTGCTCGGACGAGCGGTGAGCTGCGTTGCGTGCCCAGACAATTGGCACAGGTTCGTTGTCCGTGATGCGCTCGACGAGCTGAACCCCAGCGTCCCTCGCGTCTCGAACCACTTCGTACAGCACGGCCCCCGCATCGGCGGTGTTCCCATCGTCCGACGTCCCTTCATCTAAATTAGCGTTGAGGCTGAAGGTGCTGGTCGCCCTCTCGGCGGTATCCACGGTTGTAGCCGTCAGATTGCTGTCGCTGCAGCGCCAGACCTTTGCCTGCGCCCCCAAGCGTCTCCGCGGCGTCGGTCGCACTGCTTCGGTGTCCGTATCCGCGCGGTGCCGCACGCGCTCGTAGCCCGGCTCCTCCGAACTGCTGTCTTCCGTAGCCCCATGATCCGACGCGGAACTGCTGTCTGATGCTTGCTTCCAGGCGAGGGGACTCGGTGCTGGAGAGTCCACGCCGCTCCCCGCGTCCTTCATCAGCCTGTAGCCCAGTTTCCGAACCCTGTCGTCCGCCACACTCTCGTACATTTCGTCACTGGAGCCATTTGCGTCGTGCGCTACGCAAGAAGCGGCCGGTCTTTCCTTGATCATCTCGTACCCGACGTCATCGCCGTTTTCGCTCACGGTGGGCTTGGCCTTCCGACTGTGCTCAATCCTTTCGTAGCCTGGGTCGCTGTCCGCCTGGCTGCATGCGTCGCTGTGCGTCTTCCGGATGCGCTCGTATCCCGGGTCACTTGCGTCGTCCTCCCCTCGATCCTCCTTCCGCCGTATCCTCTCATATCCCGGGTCGCTCGCGTCGTCGTACGGCCGCTCTTTCCGGCCCTTGATACGCTCATAGTTGTGCTCAACCGCTTTGCCGCCGTTGGTGGTGACATCGTCTTCCCGGACGCCCGACGCCTTGTCGCTCTTCCTTATCCTCTCGTAGCCCGGATCGACGCCCTGGCTGTACTCTGTCGAGGCGTCCTTACGGATCGTCTCGTAGCCCGGCTCCTGGTCAAACCTCTTCGGGACCTTTTCGTAACCCGGGTCCGAAACGGCGTCGTCCGCATGACCTCCGCTGACTCTCTCGTAGCAGGGGTCGGTGTCGCTCGAGTCCTGGTGGTAGACGCGCTCATACGCGGGGTCGGCATACTCTTCCGGCGGTGGCGGCAGGCTCTCCGCCGACTCGGCGCCGCCACCGCCGACGCTGCTGCTGCTGCCGTTCTTCTCCTCAAACTCCCGCACGACCACCATGTTGGTGCACGACACGAAGGGGTCGAGACCGGGCGGAAGAGAGCGTGGCCGGTCGTGGACGGAGAAGGCTTCCGGCAGAAGGTGCTTGGACTTGGCCGGCGGTTCGTCCGTGTTGGCGGAAAGCCGGCTCGGCTTGTGCACTTTGGCGTAGAGCTCGTCCAGGTTGGCCGCCTCTCCTCCGAGCGCCGCCACACCCTCGGAAATGTGGATGGTCTGCCTCTGCTTGCTGCTCTTGTCCACGGCCGTGTACAGGCTGCCGACGTCCATGTCTGGGCTCGGGGCGCCGAGAGACGACGCCGACGTCACAGAGGCTGCAAACCAAGTAAGGTGAAGTTTACGGCTGTAGTAGCTCGCGCTTTTCTTGAAACTAGAAACTGCACGTCGATTCATGTGAGGGAGTCAGAACTCTTCAAAAGATTGTACTGCAAACTCTGAAAAAGAACCGGGGCTTGGAAGTTCCCTTATTATTGTCACTTTAAAACAGCATGCATCCTTAATTCCTACTTTCAACAAACACCAGCTTGCACTTCCAACATTTAATGCCTCTTTATTCTATCCACATATAACAGAGTTTCAACAAAAGATACAGCCAATGTTTTCCTAATATTTAAAACCTTTGAGGTAAAAAAAAAAGCTGGAACACATATAAAAAAAAAAAAAGGGGTGTTCTACAGTTTTTCGGCTACTGCAATGAAATTAAGCAGCATCTAGCGTAAACCACTTTTATCTTCAGAAAAGCTGAAGCAATTGTTGCAGGAGACATGCGAACCTCTTTGCCACTCTTTATTTGTCAAAGGCATCACGACATCAGTCGGCGTCACCGAGTCGGCTCGAGAAGAGTCGCTCAACCCTCACGATGACATCGCTTTCACTAGTTTCTCTACTTCCCACCTTCCACTCCTGCACTCGGCAGGCAGCGGGGGGGACCAGCCATGGAGAGATTTTAATTTACAACTACGCGCATCAATCCCGCTAACAACGTCCCCTCCAAAAAAAACTTCACACATATTATTTATAAGGTGCGTCATCCAAACCCTCGCAGCCTACTTGCATTCTAAAACCGCTTCAGTTTCCTTTTAAATACAGAATGCGTCTCCAGTGTCACACACGCTAGTACCATGTGAGGTTGATTCGACAGCTCTGGAGCAATGGTCTTACCCTGTCTAGAGTGGGCCTGGGCCACAGACTTCAGGCTCTCAACAGTAGGGGGTGCTGGAGGTTGTTGCTCCGATGTTCGGGGCTCTATCCTCGCGTAAGTGACCGACGACCCAGCGGAGTTGTGGCCGGACTCTATCTCGGCATACATCTGCTCCTCCTCTGGCACCTCCGTGTAGTAAGCTTCCTGGGCGGGAGCCACCTTGAGACGGAAATGGTACAGGTGTGAGGCGACGCAGCTAAGCAAAATGTGCAATTTTAACAGTGAAGATTGTACTCCAAAAGCTGTCAACTACTGGTACCATTATGAACTTAAGAACTCTGTTTTAGATTTCAAATCACGACAGGCACATGTAAAGTACCGTTTCCACAAGTAAAGTCGCGTTTCCTTCAATAGAATTGTTATTCAAAGCTTGCCTTACTCCTACGAGCACAAGAACCTTGAACTGCCCCAACTTCCGCATACCAACAGTTGCAACATGCATAAGACTCCACTGCAAGACTCTGCAAGCAGGTGAAGTACCGAGCCACACAAACCTGAGCTGGCTTTTGCCTCAGTGTCTCCTCCCGTACCTTGGCTAGGGGCTCCCTCACTGAGATCACTGTGTATGAGAGGTCAGACGTTCCTGGAAAATAAACAAACATTACAGAATTTACTACACAAGCAAGCTTTCTCATCTCTATGGCTCTATATGGCCAACAAGCTGACCGAAACGTGTCCCTTCAAACACGAGAGCGAAGGCATAAAAAAATGAGCCCCTCTGCATCCGAAAGCAGGTGCGAGAGGGTAACAGGGAGAGATTGTGTGCATGAAGCTTGTGAAGCTCTGCCCAAGCAGGTGCAGACGCCATTTTCTTCGGTGGGTAGAGGTAGTAAGCAACTTCTCGGTTGCAAACACTTTCTTAATTCTAGCGTGTCCGACAGTTGTCAGTCGATAAAAACAACATACCCTTCTAACTATTTCGTCTCCCCTTAAAAGCGATATCCCCGTTTAAAAACAGCTGGAGGATTTCTGGCAGCAGTAGAAAATGCAAAGCAGCTGTCGCTACGAATAGCAGACGACACTGGAGCTCGCCACTGCACCGACTGTGCAAGGTGCGGACGACCTTGCTTGTTCCGATTGGAGGATACAGTGGGTGGACAAAAAGACTTTGGGTCTACCCACTACGTCCTCCAAAGAGAGCTTTGCGCCGTGATGTCGCCACACCCCTACGTGAGGAGCAGACAAACTTCCTCACTGTATATCATGCACAAAACATCAAAGTAAGGCTTCACACCTGAGGCTTGTGATGCAGGTCCTGTAGCTTCCGGCATTGTTACAGACACAAAGGGTATGTCCGGACTATGGGCTAGGGGACCTGGCCCCGGATGTGTGTTATTAGGTGGTCCTGAAACAAAAATATCAAGTTTCAACAGCAATTCACTGTGCACTGTGTGAGCATACCAAAGCATTGAAAAGGAACACCAAACTCTGTTGTCCCCAAAACATTGTCTTTCGGGAGTTCGGTGCTCGTTTAAAATCACCGCAATAAGATACAATGAAGACAGGCAGCATGAAATACAGTTTTTCTTAAGTTAAGTGACTTTGTCTCTCCCTAAGCCCGGCAGCTTTTGGCAAAGTCTCTGGGACATCTCTTTCGCCCTGTCTTGTGGCATTCTTTCGGTATTGCCCACCACCTTTTACCCGTGGGTTTGAGAGCAACATAGCCACGCTTGACTGAGCCACGCGGAATAAACGGGACAAAGAATGCCATAAGAGCCGGTATGTATCGACCTCCAAGAGCCGTCGATCTCGACGAGGCCGAAACGGCGCTCGCTGCAGCGAGTACAGTTGTCCGGAATTAAAAGGCGGATGCAACAACGACATCTAAGCAGTTCATGCTGCATCCCCTATGGTCACTGACAGGATCAGAAAGGCAGGGAGAACTTTCAGTTGTTCCACTTCCAGCGCAAGCTTCCCGACTTCGATAACGCTTCGACGTCTCATCAGCCTCGAGCACGTATAAGCACCCAAAGCGCGGCAGAAGGCAACGAATGTTCTGGGCGCGAGGTGTTCGCAAGAGACTCCCTGTCGTTCTAATCTTGTCGGCGACCACAGTGGTCACTATCAAAACGCAAGTTAGGAATGCCCGGGCGGGACAGCAAGTTCTTTCCTGCAAAACGACAGTTCAGTAGAGAAAGGGGGACAGCGTGCTTAAAGGCCGACCCGCAGACTTGTCATCTGCCGGGCAGAAAAGCCGACTCCCAGTTTTCTCCTCTCCGTTCCCTCTCCTCCTCCTCTCCTCACGGAAGAGGGTCTCCAAACTACTTCCCGCAGAAAGGAGGGTCTCCCTCTTTCTCGAATGGAAAGGTCAAGTCAAACTTTGGAGTTTTATATGCCAAACCAATGACAGGCATCTGGCACGCACCAGCAGAGGACTGAAGATTAATTTCGACCACCTGGGGATCTTTTGACATGCAACCGAAAGCTCGGTTACACAGTGCCTTTTCCGCAATCGAAAGGAAAGGAGAAATCGAGGAAGAGTTTCCTCCTCTCGTCAACCTTTGAGCCCAAAATTTTGAACGTCGCAAAGGAATGGGGAAAGAAACCCGCGATCCTGGTGCATGGGCCGCGACGAAATGCAAATGGGGAACCGCCACTCACGGAACGGAGCGCCGGCGGCGGCACCGCCGAGGGCCCTCTCCTCCGCGGCCACGTCAAAGCGCTTCTCGGGAATGGGAGGGGCATTGTCCGTCACGTCCAGAGACTGCGGCCTTCGCAGCGTCGCCACCGAGTACAGGGGATCCGACTCCGAGCTTTCGCTGGGGGTGTCGGCCCCCGTGCCGTCGACGCACCTAGTCCCGTCCGCGCCACCGGCGGGGGGCGCCGAGGAGGCGGGAGGGGGCGGGGGAGCGTGGGCCTTGTTTCTGCGATGTGGCCGGACTAGCGTCGAGGAGCGGCTGTCCGTCGCGGCTCCGTCGCGGAGCGCGTTGGAAGGGCTGGCTGCGGGGACGGACTGGGGCCTTCCCGGCGGAGTGGGGAGGGCCCGTTCCGTCACCAGCCTAAAGTAATCCAGAGTTGAATGAGCTTGTTATCAACTTAACATTGTCATAAAAAAAAGCGACGGTACATTTCTTCTAAAATATTTTCGCTCTTATGTTCTTACTGCAATTGGTTATAGCATTCATTGTTTTAATCACCGCTATATACAGTTTGAGCACCTCTAAGTTCTACGCTATTTTACCGAGTGTTTTGTTTTTACAGTGCTGTATACTAGCATTATGCACTTATGTATAAGATAATAAAGGAAGAAACTTTTTTGTGTGTAGAGATGTGTACCAATTTGTGTTTTCTCATGTAACCTGCCAGGCCGGAAAAAGGCACACAGTATATCACAATAAATAAATAAATAAATTTCTACCAGGTGTCGTGAAGGTTGGGTGAACAAACTGCCTGGATTGGCCGACATGCAACCCTCTATGTATTTCTATGGTCAGTGACCGGCTAAGGGTGCGGTAGCTCCATTTCTAGCATGCACACATGGCATTCCTTCGAGTTTTGATTGCGCATGCAATGAAGCATTATCAAGAAAGGTCGTGCTAGAGGCAGAGCATCTACTGCATCTGGCACCAGCAGCACCAATCAGGGTATTTCTTTTTGTTCAAATACTTCCAACGAGTTATATGGATCTACCAATGAAATTGCAGGATACCATTATGTGCCGCAAGTTTAAAGTTTCATAAATTTATCTTTGTCAAAAAATAAACATCATTAGAGAAGTGTTGCTTTTTAATGACGTTTTGTTTTCTAATTTTTATACACCAAGTCACATCCCCCCTCCCCTCTCCTCCTCCCATACAAAAATTCCCACAAGCAATGAAGGTACTACAATGCACACAATGTAAATAATTTTACTGATTGTACATCTCAGATACATATACAACAGAAGTAAAGCAGTGAACATTCTCCTCATTTGTGTAGCCTCTGGCATTTCTAAGGTATCACTAAACTGTGTATGCTCTATGTATTTGGATTTCTATAAAAATTTCACTAAACTCCCTCCAAAAAAATTTTTTTTTCTTTAGTTTTTTTACATTTCAGTTGGAAATGTGTGGAAGCTTTGTTACCTGGGGTGGAGAGATACTTTGTCCAAGGGTGATGATTCAGAGTGAAGGTCACCATTTTGGCGCTCCGCCGAAGACTTAAAAAATAAATAAAAAGAAGACAATAAGAACAGGTAGCATTTAACATTACTCATTAGGTTACATTTGGAGGTTACCTCCATGCAGAACTGCTACCTTGACAACTGTTCCAAATTATTTGAAAAGCCAATGTGATAAATTGAAACTTGGATTTCGCAAAATTAGGCCCCAGAAGCATTGAACGGGACGCTACGAACTCCACAACATCACACACACATCAAAATCTCAAACAGATGGCCACATCTTTGGAAAAGAAGGGCACGATCAAGCGAGCAATGTCACGTAATGATTCTCCTGGAATAGTTGAGAATAACGGAAAGCGGCCTCGCTTCTCTCCTTCTTGTTTCGACTCATCTGCCTAGGAGATGAAGCAAAGTGGAGGGGAAAGGAGAACTGCAACGTCACATGTCTCGTCGGCCGTTTTCAATCGCATACTTTTTTTCCAAAAATATGGCCATCCATTAGAGGTAACGTTGCACGAGTGATGTTTTTGGGTTTTGCAGCATCCTGCTTATTACTCCAGCCTTGCCTTGTGAGCTCCAAATTTTGGTTCAGCATCTCTTTAAGTCCTTTTGAGATTATACTTAAACTAAAAATCTAAATACATAACGACCTCAAAGGACACAGAAGATCTAATGTGTATATACTGTAAACGACTTAATTTTTGCAAAAAACTAATTTTGCAAACTTTGCGAATCGCCTATGATTCGTGAAAAATAGATCTCACAAATATGTTTCCCAATAATAGCAAGTACTATCGCGTCCAATATGAGCCAAAACGCCTCTCCGCATAGTGAGCGGTACTATCAGAGCTGCCTGCCGCATTGTTCTGCAAACTGCGATGCACGCCGAGGCCAAGAGAACTCCCATCTGGTGCTCGTGGCACCACACTGCAATGCCGTGTCGTCTGCTAGTGAGGCAGTCAAGACGACATTCCTTTGTTTATTTTAACAGTAAAAACTATTCATGACACAGCACATATCTATTGCAAACTTTCTTTAAACAATTTTTTCAGAGCCCCGATTTATGATCATGCAACAGTCAGTCCACAGTTGAGTTGTTCAAACACACGTCTCTTGTACTCGACAAAAACAGTTCTAAAAATTCGAGAGTGCCAATAAAAGTGTGTTAGGCATCCAAGCGTTAAAGAGTATCTAAAAATGGTCAATAGTATAAGAAAGGTCGTTAGCCAAAGTAAATCGCATAAATAACGCCCAAAGATATGAACCACAAGCACCACAAGAAAGGCGTTTTCGAGAGAGACAAGAACAGCTAGCTTGCTGCAGCTGTATTGGTAAGCCCTTTTCAAGTTGAGCGGGAGCTTTGAGAAAACCCGATAATTTAGGCGTTTGTCTCAACAGTCCTGCGGCTCCTGCCACAGTTGAGAACTGCTGTCTCAATAGCAGATGACAAGAAAGCACGGATTGGCTCAGCTAGTGCCGGAGGGGAGTTGTCTTGGCCTCAGCATGCATCGCAGTTTCCAGAAAAACGTGACAGGTGGCTCCGATAGTAGCGCACGCCATGTGGAGCGGCATTTCAGCTCATTTATACTCTGTTCACCCATAAGCTGAGACTGCAGTCAAAGCTACAAGCATGAGCTAGCCCGCAATCCTGGGTTTGAAACGTGCATTTGTAACGCGAGTGCTCATTCTGCTCAAGAAAACTGCAAAGCAGCGACCTCGAGCTCTTGTGCTTCAGCATTGGCTGCAGTCCCAGCGTAAGGGTGAACAAAGTATAGCAAACCACCACAATTTGCAAAAATTCGAGGCCACGAAAGGGTCAAAAGTTTCAGCTTTGGCCTAATTCGCGAAAATCTGAGCCCGCGAAAATTAAGTTGTTTACAGAAATCCGTTATTTTCCTCATTTAAATATTCAGCAATAATGACAAATGAAAATGCAAACGTCCGAAAATCAAAGAGATAAGAAATTTTCACAGCTAGAGCGAGATGACAACAAAATGGAGACAGTACCTGAACTTTAAATGCAACAGGTGAATTTGCGTTGAGCACCTGGTTTTCTTCCCGTATAAAATTGAGAGACCTACAACACACACAGAGAAATAGAATTTCTTTCCTCCCGAACAAAAATGCACCGACAGTGTTATTGTTGTTTTCAACTATAACAGATGACAACACAGGTAGACAGCTCTTACGCAAATTACTTCAAGGATATAATACCCATTCCTCTGATTAAGTTTCAGAGTAAAGCGAGCCGACTACTTTTTCTCGTGCAAGCTCGAAGCACCGAAGGCCAGCGTGTGTATGGCATAAAAATTCCACATTACTATTCAAGACAGCAAGCTCGGAACCTCCCCCCTCTCCCCCTGTTACACCCCCTCTCCCAAAATCCGTGAAGGATATATAGAGAAGAAAAAACGAGCCATTGATAGCGTTGAAAATTCAGGACGTAATCGCAAGCCTGATCTTGAAACAAACATGTCTGAAGATTACTATACGTCAAAATCCTATTTTTTTTTCGAATAATGGTAAATTAATGAGCAGAAAATTTTTTTCCACTTGTCAATGCTCTCTCATTAAGCTTGGAAACATAACGTAAGTTACATTTAAAAAAAAATAAATAACAACGTTTACGGGGAATGAGAGCTAGTTTCCCAAGTGGTTCGGTGTAGAACAGCCTCATGTAGCTTTGATGGAATGCCAGAGCCCGCATAGTGAGGGGAACCTTTATCAGTCGCTTTATCGTGTCAAACAGTCCAACAGGAAACTTGAGTTTCCGAGTGAGCGCACATCTAGATTCGCGACAAATACTACACGTCCACCTACGATACCCGCTGAACGAGCTGCTACGCGCCGTCTATATTTAGCGCGATGACAGAGCCTTCGCGGCACGCCTGGCTTCGTTTATTTATTTATTTTAATTTTAAGGTATTTCCAAGGAAACAATATCAAAAGAAGCTGCGAGACAATGGCAATAAATTGAGACTCACTTGTCAGCTCCCTGTTTACAGAGACATAGCGCCAAAGCGACGATCAGAACCACCGAAGTCGAAACGGCGACCACTGCCCATGTCACTGAACCGACGTCGGGGACGAACATCATCGAATCATCTTGAAAACTGCACACAATCGAAGAGGAAAGGAGACGGAGTGAGTCTTGGGTGTGAAGAGTACAGCTCGGTATTGCAACGATTGTTAATCCACTGAAATGCCTCGCAAACTGATCATGTTTACGCGATATCGCAGCACCAAATCGGGACTGAGTACGGAAGGAGAAAAAAAAAACAACAACGTAACGTTCGAGGCGATCAGAAAACAGGACGGACTTGCAGGTGGCCCTCACTTACGCATTTCGAAGGTACGTGCCGTCTTGAGCGTCATTAATCAATTCTAACCAATACTTTCACCAAGTTTGATGAACGGGAGAAAACGGGGCCAGAGGAAAAGGGCACTTCGCCAGCTTCGCTTGGCAGGGCAGTGTGTATGCATCGCTAGAGCGGTGAGCGAATGGAGTGTCAAATTGTCTAGTGGCCGAGCCAGTATCACAAGAATCTGCAAATATATAAATCAAGCCTAAATATTGAACAAAAAAAGATATGAAAAACACGTTTAATATTTATTTATCAGTTTAATAATGTTATGAATTCATTTTATCGCTAAAGTAATAAAAATAGCCACCGTCGTCTGCCCTCTACCAATATGGCGACACACATTCTGCTTCACGACTATCGCTCAAAGCATATAAGTAATTTAAGTCCTGGTTAGCACCGTAGTTTTCATTCGCTTTCTGCCAGATTGTAGCACCTGATGCATATAAAAAATATTTTTATTTAAATAAAACAATTTATAAGATGCAGAAAAATGAGAGAACTTTTTTAATTTTCTGCTACCTACGTGCGTCGTCGCTGCGGGACTGCGACAGCACCACAACTTTCGATCAGAGAGAGCGTTGATGTGGCATGTCGTTCGTGGAGTTATTACGCGGCCAAACTAACGATAGCACCGAGTCATAGGAGCGTTCACCCCTCACAAGGTACACAAAATACCATCATGGAGCGGCTATATTACGTCTCGAACAGCATCGTGGAAGACATCCACCAGTGCTTCAAGCGGTACGAGATCGCCACCGGCGACGAAGCATCGCGAATGGAAGGTGTCATTCAAGAGAAGATCAACGAGCTCGTCGAGAACTGCGAGCGCTTGAGCCTCCTCGTGAACAAGGAGCCTATGTCGCGCCGACAGCACGCCAAGATGAGAGTCGACGAGCTCAAGTACGAGTACAGACACCTTCAAGCCGCGCTCGGCAACCTCCAACGCCGTAGGATGGAACGGGAAGAGGCCCACCAAAACAGGGAAGAACTACTCACTCGCACGTTCGCGCCGAACGACACTAGGGACACGTCCATCTTCATTGATCAGTCGATTCAGTTCCATTCCAGGGCACAGGACGCACACCGCAACATGGACGATTTGATAGGAAGCGGGAGTAACATACTGACCAACCTTCGGGAGCAAAGGACTACGTTGAAAGGGGCGCACCGAAAAATACTCGACGTGGCGAACACGCTGGGCATGTCCAACACGGTCATGCGGCTCATCGAGAGGCGGACGTACCAGGACAAGTTCATCCTGTTCGGCGGGATGCTGGTCACCTGTGTCGTTATGTTTCTCGTCGTGAAATACCTGACGTAGGACAACTCAGCTGCGACTTGTGGGTGGACGGTGGAATTTTGAAGACAGAGCGATTAAACGTTATGTGGTAATTTTTGCGACATACAAATAAATTGCAGGTATTCCTAGAACAGTGAATTTTCTCAGGAAATGTTCATCTGTATTCGAAATCTCCAGTCGAGATTGTCCTGCCTTACAACGTAACTGAATTTATGCAGCCGTGTGGTGCAGTTGTTTACAATTCTGTGCAGTGCATCCTTCGATGATGTATAATGTCAAAACATTTCAACGTATCGCGTTTTTGTTAATTTAATTCGGTGCGATATTCAGGTCAAATGCAGTACCTAGTATACTAATGCATGGAAGCAAGTGCCTGCCCAAAGCAAGATATAACAACCTCCAAACTAGGAGGAAGAGGGGGAGGGGCACTTGCATGTTTTTGTGCACCTTACTAAATTAAATTGGCGAAATTTTTTTTTTTTTTTTTTTTTCAAAGGCAAGCTGAAAAGTTAGGAGTGGTTATAACACTGGATTGTTAAAGGCTTTAATATATCCACTTCTATTTAAAAAAAAAAAAAAAAATGCAAGTACCACAGGCTATGTAGCAAACTTCTCTGTTGTCTATGAAGGGCGTCATAAGGTCATAACTGGCATCTCCTAGCCAGCTGAAGGGTGAGCAACTACCAGTGGCATCACTAGGATGGGCAGAAAGGGAGATGTGCTCATTGCCTGCTTCGCCGCAGTCCATTGATCCTTAACAGAAATGAATGGCGCTGTCCTCGAAGTCCGATATGTATACCCCCGATACTGTGTGCGCTTTGCTACGTTGCTGCATGTGGTCGGTCATTCGGACTTGACATTGGTCAGCAGTACTGCTGACCGCTCTCTCAATCCAGTAGACTTTATATTACTTCCTGTGAAATGTTTTCCACAATGGGGAGAGTTCTGTACGAGGACAGAGCATGCGTAGAATGAGTGTGAATCATCGCCTGCTTCGCCGCACTCCACTGATCCACAACAGAAATGAATGGCGCTGTCCTCAAGTCTGATATGTAATACCCACGATGCCGTGTGCACTTTGCTGCGTTGCTGCATGTGCTGGGTCATTTGGTCTTGACAAAGGTCAGCAGTACTGCTGACCGCTCTCCCAACCCAGTGGACTTTATATTACTTCCTGTGAAAGGTTTTCCACAATGGGGTTAGCTCTGCACGAGGACAGAGCATGTGTAGGACGGGTGTGAAAACCCAGCAAGTTGACATGGGGACATGGCGACATCCTCAAATAGGATGCCTTAATGGAAGCTTGCAGCATCTCGGTTAATGACAGATATACTCCCACTAAATGAAGGGCTTTCGAAATTGTAGCTCGCATGGTTCCAACCTGATGTCAAAATAGTAAATCCAAGGACACCTGTAACCCAGGCTTAGTACTTCGGTGTAAAGAGCAACATACCTCCAATTCAACTTTCTTTGTCACGTGGCGAAGCTTGCACATTGGTGCAGAGCAGTGGCACTGAATATAATTGCTAGCTGTACCTCGACGTTGCAATTATGAGTGCATGCATCATGCCCTTTCGTGTTTCATCTTCCACTTCAGTACTCAATGAAGCAAAGACCTGCCTGTTGGATTTGGTGGCTTTGGCTCAACGCCCTAGAGAAGCAACGTAGTTCGTGCAATACAAGATCGCTACCCAAGGTCTTAAAAGGGGTCATGAAACGCTTTTCCAACTTTTTCGTGTTTAGCTTTCCTCCTCAACTCATAAATCGCGCATTCCACCAAACAGTTCAAGAAGACGAAAAGAGGGGAGGCCTCTCTTGCTCGGAATTTGGTTTATGTACCCGGACAGCGCCATTGTCCCCCTGGAAGATTAGCCCGTCGCTCAAAATTCAGACAAAAGTTGCTTTCCCCAACCCGTTCACCACGGAGCTGACAGTGTTGTGGAAGCTACATGCTCGTTGGGCCAGCCACACTTGCCACATGATGACGCTCCTCCGCGCATACCCACGCGCAGAGATTGAGGTCAGGTGATAAAGGGAGGCGGCCGATTGGTTCGGCAAGCGCATAGCTTCCACCAAAATGTCAGCTTAGGGGTGAAGGGACTAAGTGAAGTCCGGTTTTGTGTGACGTGCGTTTAGACCCAATGACGCGCTTTTGGGACCGCGGATGTATCGCTGTGAAAAGGCAGAGAGCTTACGAAGGGGAGGAGGTATGAAATAGTCCGCGGTGTTTTCAAATTTTCGCACTGAAAGTCAGGCTTTCGTCTTTCTACCTTTTTTCTTTTGGCCCACTGAACGATGTGCTACGAGTAAAATCCCAATCGAAAATAAATTAATCCCAACCCAAAATCCGTTTCATGGGCCCTTTAACATGTTCCCCCATGCAGTTCCGGTTACACAACTGCATGCTGGTACCATGACTCCTGGTCATCTTAAATAGTCCCCAAAGTAGATGAATGGCTAAAATATATGTATGTCGTTTACCTCAGATTCAATCCCAGCGCCACCACACCCATCCTGAAGCTGTGGATCATTTTTCTCAAATGAAGTGGGCTAGGGGAGCCTGTAGTCAACACTGGGTGTGAGTTCATTAGTCTATTCACGATCTGCTGGAGCGCACGCCACTCCGATGAACATAATGCAACAGGATTGGGATGCTTGACATGGATGCAACAGAAAGAAGTTTGCACGACTGCACACAGGTACTAAAAATAAAGATACGGAGCTCACCTTAGAAAAAGCAGATACTCGGAAAACTTCAAACACTTTTGCTTTTAGTTCGTAGACAACAAATCCTTCAAATGGATAACAGGCTGGATACGATGTGGTGTGACTGATGGCATCGGCATGTATCATGCACAGATGGCATTGGTGATTATGTTGCTCCTACTAGTAATGTGTAAAAAAAATAAATAAATAAACTCAGTTTTTTTTTTTCATTAGAAAACTGTTTTAGCGTTCCTCTAAAATTTGTGGGGCATTTTACGATGGTCCCTTTCCAAAACAATTTTACGCAGCAGCAAGGAATGAACGAATGTGGGCCCTCATTTTTCGTAGCATATAATGTTTTTTTCTTTTTTAAGTTAAGTCCATGCATCCCTGTCAAAACTTAAATGCAATGGTTCATCAACACTCACAACGCAGTTGCAAATGTTCTTAAAAAATACCAATTTATTGCGGAACATTTCTGAGATGAGGTGGAGAACCTGTGTACAAAAATCTCTTCAAATTATTTGTCAAGCTGCATACGCAGAAGCTTGACATCACTTGCTGAGCTTGGTCTTGAGGGACTCTGTGATTGCCTCCAGAAAGTCCATTGTATTCAAGTAGTCTCCTTCTTTGACACTGCAACGAAACAAAGGAGGGCAGCGTTAGTTCCCTCCAACAATGGTGCCGGCCTTTGTACGAAAGCAAGAAACCTGTACATAGCACGCCTCACTTTTTCAGTCCATGAATGCAGCCGGCCAGATCTTTGGTCATTTTGCCGCCCTCAACGGTGTCGATGCAGGCCGACTCCAGTGCCGTACAAAACCTGCACAAAGGTATACAAACAACTTTTCAGCTTTGGCAGCATATAAAGCACTTTTCTTGTGGCAGGGCATCTACCGAATTGCTTCCCTCTAATTCCTTAACTTCTCCGGGTTTTCTCTCAATGTTTAAATTAAATTCCCTCAGTAATGCCAAAAAACGTTCAGCATTTCCACTCTCGTGAAGAAGGAAGACCAGCGGAGCTGTACTCGATACACTGCCACAACGCGCACGTGCCCGTTTCCCACTTCTTCTCGTCCGACGTATCATATCCACGACCCAGAGTCGTTCGCACGCGGCGCACGTGACGCTGAACAGGTAATCCACGAACTCCCTCCGGAACCTTGCCGTCGCGCCCGGGAACTGTTCAGCCGGCGTGGAATGCAGTTGTCGCCGGGCCTCGCGCTTGCGCTTGGCCTCCGTGGCACGATCGTCATCCGTGGCGTTGGCCCGCCGGTGCCCTTTATATCGCTGATTCTGTTCTCGACGGCGGCTTTCCAGGCAAGCGATATACTCTTCTTTGGCAAGGGAATCTGAAGCGCTCGACACAGTGGAAGTCAAGGCGACAGCGGCTTTGCGGCGGTTGTGGACTCATTCGCGCTGCTGCGTACGTCGCCGCTCCTTCCGCAGCCAACCTTCGTTCCCCAAAAGGGCGCGCGGCTGACCCATCCTAAGTCCGAACCGAAACTGATAACAGCGTAGGAAACAGCGCGCAAAACAGACAAGGACAAAGTAACACTCGTGACGAGCGCTGCGCTCGTTACGTGTGCTTCTTCTTTGCCGCAGTCTGTTTTTTGCGCTGTTTCCTACGATAAATTCCCACCAACGCGCCCAACTATCCATTCTTCTATGATAGCTGGAAAGGTTGGCGCCATCTACGAGCGAAGGCGGCAACCAGACTGGTTGTGTGCTTGCCGCCGTCGCTTATAGATGGCGGTAGCTGTCCAGGCAGGTTTCTGTCAACATACCGGACATGATCCTGGGGAACCTAGCCCTTAACAGCTCCGCTGTAAAAAAAACAAAAACAACGCGGACGATGGGGTTGCAGAGGTTGTTAGGGCTGTTCACGTTTAATCTGGTGGATCGGATGGCGGCTTTTGCTACCTAGTGATGCCGCGGGCAACTGTCAATCGGCGCAAAGTCTATCCTTACCACCACACTCCACATCTTCCCGCAACGTTGCAGGTCACTGCCCTTCATACCGTATTTACACGATTGTAAGTCAACTCGATTATAAATCAACCCCCCACATTGCACACACAAAAAAAAAATCTGTAGATGCGCATTTTACTGTGTACAAGTGAGAATGGCAAAGTATCTGTTTCGATAGCGAAGCCTCCAACACGCGATTGATGCCTTTGGCGTGCTTTGGCTGCACATGCGTGCGCGAGACGGCCAGGCGTTACCAAAACTACGAAGTTCACGCTGGAGGAGGGACAACTGAAGCTGTTCACTGTCGACTGGACCACGACTCATCCGCACTGGTGATGTCTGTCCCGTCGTCATCACTGCTACGTTCTCGAAGCACGTCGTCGGCATCGTCCAACAAAATCTCGCACTTCACAAATGACAGGATCAACTGCATCTTCCACGCTTGCTCGGCGATCGCGTTGGACGTCACGGGTAGAGACTGATTGCACACTTTTGCGGCGTGCGTTGCAAGCTTGACCTTCAACTCTGGAGGGGACCCCCACCTATCCAAACTTATGGAAGCCTCTTTGTTTGCCGTCACAGTTTAAGAACCCGCGCCACTGCAGACTCCACTGGAGCATCACCCGCTCCGACGGGTCGAACTGGCGTCCAACAGCGCAGTTGTTGGTTGCTTCTGGATGAAGAATGGCCATAAATGAGCACCGAAAACCGTAACTGCCCAAATCACACGTGTCAATACAAAAAAAAAAAAAAAAAAAAAAAAAAAAAGTTGTTAGCGTTTTAGCATGATCTCGTCACTCGATCAAACGATGTGCGACCGTAAATCGTACGAAAAACTGCGAAGGGAAGCCGCGGGGTGAGTAAGTCGTGAGGCTGTTCCAGCGGCCTCCGGAGTGGCTCTTACAAGAAGTGTTGCCACCCCCCCGGGGAGTCGGGCGCGCCGTGCGCTGTTCACCCCCGTACATTCAGGTTAATTTGTGAATCGCTATCAATAATGCTCGTTCGCGCAAATAAAAAAAAAAAAAATTGTAAAATGAGTGCACAGAATAGCGCAGTGCTAGGGGCACAGCCGGTTGATCTCGTAACAAGCCAAGGTGTTCATGATATCGCGGTTGTTTCCTTTTAGCCGGCGGTGGAAGGCTTTGGTTCGACTATAAGTCGACCCCCCCACTTCAGATTTTCAGAAATTGAATAAAGGGTCGACCTACACTTGTGCAAATACGGTACATCAATAATTCTCCCAGACTTGAACAACCTTCTGACGATTCTCCCGAAAATTACACGACTTTTCCAGATGCCTTTAAATATCCTGACAGCTCCAGGTTTTCTATGTTGGTAGATGACAACCTGCAGGGGGGCTCTTCCTCTTCACACCATCCAAGTATTCTTTTCGGTCCTAACTTGGACAGCCCAATCGCAGCGACAGTCGCAGCCTCGAAGAGTTGCAAAGTTTTACAGTATGTAACTTCGTGAGAAGTTTCTTTACGCATCATTGTTATGCCAAGTCATTGCACAACATTACACCTTGGTAATGCTCCTATTAATTTTTGTTCCACAATATACAGCTTAGACAGCCTATCAAAAAGTGGGTTTCTAGCCAAATGATTTGGTATGCAAGCCCAGATTGAGATAGAGGTACCACAGCATCAGGTTATGTATGGACCACAGTAACCAACAGTCTACTGCCAAGTTTGATGTTAAATGAACAATAGAAGAACTTAGTGGCACTACGCAAATGATATCAACTCCATTTTCAATTTATATGCAACACAGAAGTGTACATAGAAATGAGAGAACTAGAACTAAAAAGGTACCGTTTAAAGCAATGTCCCTACACCAGTGGTTTTCAAAATGCTGCACATAGCTTGCAAGATAGGATGTAGCAGTAAATAAGCCTGATTGCAGATGATAGCACAAAACTACATTTTAAATGGCTAAAGTAAACTCCCAATGACCTAATTATACTACATATAAAATAATCAACTTGAACAGCTAATGATGCGTAAACCAAGGAACAGCAATATATTTTGCTATCACACTGCCATTGAATTTCAGGCTGTGGCTATCGCACTAAGCACAGCACACCACATTATCATTAGAAAACTGAATGCAAGAACTGTGCATCAAATACAGTCAACAGAACCTTGTTTAGGTTGTTAAAACACTAAAACAAAAGACAAATGCATTTTTTTTTTTTTTTGGATAAAAAAGTTTTCACTTGTCGTATTTATGCATTACCTGTGAAGCTCGTCATTGTTGTCCAGTTTTGCTCGATGTTCCAGACCACGTGTCCAGGCGAAAATGCTGGCGATCGGGTTTGTGCTAGTCTTTTTACCCTGTTGGGAGAAGCACCTCAGAGTTAGAGGACGCCCAACAGCTCATAGGGAGGGGATGGACAATGCTTAAAAGCCAACCATTTCTTTTTACAGTCAGACTCCATTTGCCTGACACCCTCTTCTGATGTCTAGGGAATATTCTGCTCACATTCTTCGCGTTAGTGTCATATGTATACGTGCTCGCCCACTGCCCAATTGTCAAAAAAAGAAAACAATGGTGGCATGTGTCAGACCAATGGGGCTCACTGTGTTTGCAGTCCATGCATATCTCAATCGGCTTGCAATTAATTCCAAAGGAGTTATGAGTAACGTTAGCAGTCTTCATAAAAGTGGCACAATTATGTCTGGGCATTACAGGAATGTTTTCTTTCCTACTATGCAAGGAAGAGTTGGTTAGGTTGGGAGGTTGCCAAATGCTGAGGGGCCCCACAGTCACCCTGAGAAACAATTCAGGAGCCATTTTCCACTTGGCATTTCTGCAACTGCACAGGCTCAGGAGCTCTGTCACACCATACATGCTAGGGGGAAAGCTATGGGGGCTTCACTTAGAGAATCGTCAATAATTTGCTGAAATAATGCCAATGTTCTAAGGGTGCTCTACTTTGAAGTAGGCCGTGTTGAAAATTGAGGCGATCAAGGAATTCCAGGTGATCCTCCACGGGTTTCAGAGAACCCAGTTTGAGAGTTTGTAAATCAAATATTACCATAAAACGCTGAGCAAGCACCCACCCAAAATTTGGAGACAATCTTGACAAACTGGGGGATAGGCGCTCGCTAGGTTTGAGAGCCAAATTGAAAGGACACACAATATGGTGTACTTCACCCCTTTGCACCAGCGTGCCTCTGTCAAGCTTCATCACCTTGCACGGGTGTACTTGGAGAAGCGGCAGATGCTGAAGAGTTTCAGTTAGCTAAAGAGACTTGAAGGTCTCGGGGTGGGTGCCTATTGTGACATGGCCACATGCTCAACATCTTAAGATAATCAAACATATAAATAAAAAAAAAAAAAAAAGATAGATACTTAAAGTTGACAGGAAAAGATAATAAGCATTTTGTGCCTACAATGAAGGCTATGCGGTGCTAGTCCTTCCCCATTTAATTTAGGTGGATCATAGCACAAATTTCTTCAGCCCAAATTAATACAGTTTCCTAAACTACAAATTAGTAATAACACACAAGCTAAAAAGACGAACCATTGTACTTACATGCAAAGACGAATGACAAAAAGAAAAAAAGAATATGATTAATAGCTTTCCAACTTGATTCCTTAAGACCTAATGCATCACTCCAGGATTTGAGCAACTTACGTCGATATCTGGCAGCGCTCTACCACCAGTTCTGGTTACCTACAAAGCCCAGTGCCAATAACAAAGGCCTAGGTTAACATTGAGGCACAACTACACTTGCAGCAGCTGGCAACCCCATGCCAGAGAGTACATAATCGAGTTTCGTTTCTGTTTCACACACTACCGAAAAAGACTTCCCAAACCTTTTGGTGTTCCCTGTAGTGCCTGGTGACAGTTCCATGTGCGGCCTCGGCCTCCACCGTTTTTCCGTCGGGGCATACCAAGACGCTCGTCATCAGGCCGAGAGAGCCGTAACCTGCAGAACGCGCAAAGAATGCGTGCCACTTAGTTTGCCAATAAGAAAATTCACCAGCACAGCCACCAACGCTCGGCGACGCTTCCTGCGTTCACGCTTCTTTCTCCCAGATTCATTCTTAGGCATTCTTATCGGCCAAAGCCGCCATCTCATTGGCTGCGGGGCGACGATAAGATGCTTGGGATTTGCCATGCCCTGCAGACAGCGACTGTCAATGCTTTAATGTGCTAAAAGCAGAATGAGGTTGCCACCCTTGCAGAGCAAAGCAAGGTACATTTTTAGTTCACCTACTGCACTGCAGGCAAAGCGTCTCAGTAGGTGCCTGGTAGTGCATGAAATTCACCGTGTGACCAAAGGAGCTCGACATGGTTCCTCACCGATTTGTGCCACATCAGTTGCCCTAGACTGCGTCCCGGGTGTAGTTATATTTGCAAGACGAGATGACAAGAAAATTTTGCCTACTGAGATCTCTTCCAGGCAGTGAAATGAGCAATAGTACCATTGTAAAAACTCAAAATCTAGCCCCTTCTCTTCACAACACTGCAGCACTTCTTATTCTTTTCTTTTTCAGAGGATACCACAGAGCCTGTGCTCCATATATTAATTACTTGAGCTTGTTTGGAGTCCTGAACAACTGCAGCAAACATGTTAAAAATACTGTGCAACGTGGCTTTCAGGCAAACTTCGAACAGCTCCAATCAATACAGCTCTCACCGCAAGGGAAGTGTGCCGGGAAGTTCTATTAAATATTTCCAAGTATAGTACTTTTGACAGAATACTAAAATCCCCTCCCCAATGGGCTAATTTGACGCGGTAAGATTGCTAAACTAAGCCAGGAGGTTCTTTTAAAAATGTCAAATATAGTTCTTTGCTATACAGTATAAACATACAACAAACATTGGATTGTGATGAGGATTTTGGTCTATGCGGAATGTAGATACCGTTACAACAAACTTTGTTGTGGATTATGAATGGAGTCTGTTCTAACCAGTGAGACAGACGAAATGTGAATGGCTATTAAGAGAAAGCTATAGTTTTTGTAAAAAAAAAAAAACGTTAACTGGAATGTCTCGAGAACGGGCGTCACGGAGTCAGCACCTTTTTGGTTGCAGATCACCCATCGCTTGCTTGGCGGCGATAGCTTTTTTTGTCCTTTACAATGGCATTGAGTCCGTTTCGAGAGTCCCAGGGCCCCCCTGACATTTTTTTTTTTTTTTTTCCCCTTCATGATTTGCTGAATGACTATCTTTCGGGGAGATTTGCTCCTGCTTTGCTGCTGCTGCAGCAGTGCCTACCATCGCACTCGCTGCATTGTGTCATAACAGGATCAACTTTCAAAGCAGCCCACGTTCGACACAGGCTGGCTAAGACCACAAGTGGCGAGCTATGAAATCAGAAAATGTGCGAGCGATAGCGTGCCTCAGAGATAGCACCTCCACCTTTACAGCATGCTAGAAACCGCTACGCACAACCCTAGCTAGACAGCGCACCCAACGGCGCCCGGCGCGCAATGACGACGATGGTCGTCGACACTGCACGCTTTAGTTCATACTACTAGAGCACCTAGATTTAAGAAATGGAGCACATCAAACCCTGAAGAGCATTTGGCAGATGCCTCCTGCCAAATTGGTTGAGAGTGTGCATGCGATGGGTTCTCATGCAGAGAGGATAAGAGTGGGTGGAAAGGTGGAGACGCTTGCAAAGGACCAACGCTCGCCACAGTTTGTGTGGCGAGCAAACAATGTGACCCCGATTGAGTAGTTGTAAACATTCTCAAATCTAGGCACACCAGTGTAAAATACCGGGCAAGCGCCCACTCAAAATTTTGAGATAATAGCGAAAAAGTTGGGGATGGGCACTTGTGCGGTCATCAATTTTACATATAAATGTATTGTGCGGAATTTCTCAGATCTTACGAATTTGCAAATGGGCACCTAGTATGGAATTGGCCTATGCACGGTATTCTACGGTAAGTCGCGCATGAATATGAAGCTTACGAGGCGTGTAATGTTCTAGATATAATGACTGCTGTCAAAGAATCTGCTGTAACGAAATGGCAAGCTACTTACAGACTCACTTATATATATATATATATAATTATAGTCAAATGTATGTATAACAAAACCTGCACTATGCAGAGTCAGAATGTCTGATGTAACCAGATACGTTTTAACGAGGTTATACTGCACTACAAACATAAAAAAAAAGTTAGCACTTAAGAACTTTGCTTTGTCCATACTGCTGTTCGCCACTTTGTCTGCAAGCAAAGAGGGATTCTGTCGACTTAATCAGTAGACTTCATGTGAGGAACCAGAACTCAAATGCGCACACAGATTCCCTTAATGCAAAGAACAAAGCTTCCACGTCTTTTGCACGACTGTGAAGTTAATGGGGTCACCATAGCAACTTTTGCCACCACTACACTTACTCAACAGATTACTGCATGACCATATTACTACAACTCACCCTGAGCAATAATGTCGGACTGGACGTCTCCATCGTAGTTCTTGCAGGCCCAGACAAACCCACCCGAAGACTTGAGCACTTGGGCAACCATGTCATCGATGAGCCTGTGCTCGTACCACATCTTCTTAGCCTCAAACTTGTCCTTGTACTCACTGGAAAGACGGGAGAAAGAAAACTTGCGATGCCTCACATAACCCCTTATAGCATTTTCTAGACTTGATCACAGCACAGAGACATGGCATAACTACAGAATTCATGGAAAGAATGACAGTGTTTGAATGGCAGATGCAATCACACAGTAGCACAAAGTGATTGTTCAAGGTGTGACTGCAAATATATTAATACAAAATTGATGAATCAAGATATGGACACCTGCTATGGTGTCCATGTCTCGAAAAAGCGTCTGCTTGAAAAATTCTTTCCACTTATTCTTTTTATTCAACATGTTACATGTTTATTTGAGTATCCAATAAGGACTATAGTACTTAACCTTGATATACTGTATTACTCGAGTAATAGCCGCACTGTTTATGAAGAAAACCTGAGGTTTCGCTTTTCCGCGAAGTGTGCGGCTTGCCAATCACCGCGATCGGCAGCATGATTACAGCGGTTTACAAAACAGAGATATCGTCTTTGCCCGAAGATACCATCTGTGAAGATTGCATTTGTATGAAGAATCGTAATCTCTATCTAGTTATTCGCTATGTTATTTTTTGCGCAACGTGATGATTGGCTGTATATGTGCTCTGCGGGAAAGCAGACGCAAGGGCCTTGTTCATAAATAGTGCAGCTACTCAAGTATGCTTTCAATGATAACTTATCAAGATACCCACGAATACTATAAAAAAATGTACAGTGTCTAAATTTAGCCACACTTATTTATATGCATGTTCCAGAAAGACCCTGAAGGTTTAGATAATGATCACTCAACCTTAAACTTCGCACTGCATTCTGCCTGCGCAACTACCAGTATATGCTATAAATTTAATGGGTCTGTAGATGTTCTTTGCTATCATAGGCGTAGACCATGGGGGGGGGGGGGGGGGCAACGGGGCTCGTGCCCCCCCTCCCCCGGGCCATGATCCTTACCGAGACGCTGTTTACGTGCCATGTAACGAGCTTCTAGTAGTGGCATGTAAACAAAATAACGTGCACATTGCCTTTATTGACAAAATACATGGGAAATTGAATTCCACCGTGTTTTCGTCAGCTTCAATCTCCAGTTCTGGCGAAAAAATAATGCCCCCCCCCCCCCCCGGGGAAATGGAAAGTCTACGCCGCTGTTTGCTATTATTTCTGAACAAACTATTTATGCACTTTGCTATTTTATGAAAGCCATTTGCACATACCCACTTTGCTATTTATGAAAGCCATTTGCACATGCCCACTTTGCTATTTATGAAAGCCATTTGCACATACCCAATCTTCATTCTTCTTTTCTTTCTCTCGTAGAAGGTGTATGTGTAACATATGCAATAAGGGGTATACATATATGAAATATGGGATCTGTTTTTTTTTTAGGTGCTTTTTAGGCAGTCTACAATAAATCATTTTGAAACTGGAAAATGCCAAAGTGTCCTAAAAGCCTATAGTACTTCACCCTAGAGCTTTCATTTATGCCTTACTGGATTCCACAGCCTTTTTAGTTTATTGAGATACATTTATTTTCTGATTTCATTACTGGAATTTGTCTTAATCCTTTCCATAATATTTGCAAATTAAATTTTTAATATTAACATAACTAATTGGGCTACATCAAAACCAAATACATATTTGTAGTCAGACTGTAATGGCAGATAAGCTACATATGTAAATTTCATCTGAATTAAATTCCAAGTTACATAAAAAAAAAAGGCTCTAGAAGCAGTGTTGGCCCCTAACCTTGGCGGATGTTTGGTTCACCGTGCATCTCATGATGCAATGACCGAGGGTAAACCCCCACAGAATCGCCACCTATAATCACTGACAAGCCGAGAACAGCAGGGAGGAGCTTCAGTTGTCTCGCTTCCAGCACGAGCTTCCTACCTTCAACAACTCTTCAACCTCTCGCGCACCTCGAGCGAGCACGTGCAGGCAAAGCGCGGCGAAAAGTGCGGAGCTCGTGCCGGAGGCCGGATGTCCCAAAGACACGCCCCGCTGTTTTCCCTTTGTCGATGACTACACAATCCTCCACATCCATCTTTCCGGGTAGATTAGCTCCAAAACAGGGCACCAACGAGAGGCACCGAGCGGAACGAAATGTCGATGGAATCCTCACCTCTCGTAGATTTCCTGGAAGATGTCCTTGAAACGTCCGTCGTACTGCTTCAGGATGGTGTTCTTGGTGCTCAGGTACAGGGGCCACTCTTTCATCAGGGCGTACTGGAAGCAGCTGTGGGCAAAGCCCTGGATGGACTCGTCCGTGTTATACATGGCCATTGTCACTCCACCGGAGTTCTTGAAGTCGAACACGATGTACCGCTGTTTCTCGCCACCCTCGTACGGGGTGAACACCAACTCCACCTTGCCCATCTTGGTCACTGTGCGGTCCATCGCCTTGTACTGCGCGAGCGGAAGTTTGCAGTTGGGCACGCCGCAACGATGCTCGTGCGGCACCTCGTAATGTTGTCGGATACGACTTAAGAATGCACCAAATAGGCGCCACCACGTACCGGCGATGGCATTGAATTGCTCCATACACCAACCACGAGAGGCACTATAGTCACCCAAAGAGCGAGAATGGTAGAGCACCTCTTTCGAACACCCGCCCAGCCTTTAGCAAGCGCTCCGTGCCTTTCTCTGCCATAGGATAGCTGAAGCTCCTCCTTGCCATTCTTAGCTTGTCAGCGACTATAGCTACGGCGAGTTATGCAATCCCAGTGCCAGATTTTCAAAATGGCTGCAGCCTCAATCAATACGCAACAGCCTCGGTAGCGGACCATTTGTGTAACGTAAAGGAATGGCGTTTGGCAGTATAATGAAGGTGTCGGAAGGGCTTCTGGAGCATTCTTAACTCGTGTTTGGCCATAGCTGCCCACTTATCCAATGTGCATTTGTTTAGAAAAGAGCACAAAAAATCATGTGGCTTCATATAGATATTTCTTACAATTCCTGAGAGACAATGATGATGCAATTTGAGAGTTTTAAGGTGCAACAAACACGGGGGCTGTACTAAGCTTGACTGAAAGATCAAGCTGCTACGGCAGCAGTGTTACAAAACGGTGATGTTAAAACCGGTTTAAGGCTAGATGTGACGTATTAAGGCAGTGACCTATACACCAACTCATGTTTACAAACAAACCGGAGCGCCCCTAGCGGACGCCACCGGCGCCGCGCATGCGCGGTGGATGGTGGGCAAGAAGCCCGCCGTCGCCCATAAACAAACCATTGAATTGCGTTGTTGTCGGCGTCGGTGGGAGTCCCCGTGCTCTTTTTCGCGTTGGAATTGTTGATTCTACGTCCTCCTAACAATGTCTGACTACTTGTGCGGCTTCAGCAAAACTAACGAGGCAAAACTTTGCGTGAATAATGTGACGTGCGGCGATTCATTTCACGTGGACGCCGCAGAATGGGCGCTAAAGCTTGACTCCCACGATGAGATTCTGCTCGCTATTTTTAGTCGCGACGTCGCTCGGACTGCAAAAGCGTGGACCGTAGCTGAGATGGTGGACGTCGATACTGAAAACCGCAAGTAGAATCGGGCATTACAAGTCGGTGATGGCCACTGGTGATCAACATCTTCTTGCATCTGTTTACACTTAGCCTACTTACCCCAACCAACCTTCAAAAGTGTTTTGGGGCCTGCACTTAGTTGTTTCACAACGTTTGGTTTCACAACGTTTGGTTTACGGGCCGCTGTCGTTTGAACGAGCTGACGACAAAAAGCAGCCAAGTTTGAATGAGCAGACGACAGTTCGAACGCATGCACAATGGAGTACGGTCAAGAAGCACCGCGTCCCGCGTCAACAAACCATTCGAATGTCACGTTGGCGGCGTTTGTGTGAGTCTGCATACTGTTTTTCAGGTTGGAATTGTCGATTCTGCGTCGTCATCGCAATGTCTTTCTTAACACTTTAATCGCCTGAGCGAAATTATCAATTCTCGTTACGCCGCTAAACTTTCCGTAAATAATTTGACGTGCGGCGATTCATTCGCGTGAACGCCGCAGAATGGACGCCAAAACCATGATGAGATTCTTCTAGCTATTTCCGGACGCGACGTCGCTCGTGCTGCAAAAGTGTAGAAGGTTGCGACGATGATCAACGTCGATATTGAAAATCGGAAGCGGGAACAGACCAAGCGTAACAAGTCGGTGATGGCCACCGGTACCAATGATCAACATCTTGTATCTACTGTCTACATCGAGCCTAATTAAGTCTTTTGAGGCCTGCAATTATTTCTTATAGCAATTACCGGGTCAACGTTTGGTCTACGGGCCGTTTTTGTTTGAACGAGCAGACGACAAAAAGCAGACAAGTTTGAAAAAGCAGACGAAAGTTTGAACGATCAGGCGGCCGTGTGAATTTGAAGACGCACTGAACCCGTGGGTGGTCCGGACAACTTGGCGGTTTTCTCTCGTTCATATGGAACAAAGCAAATACATCTGGCGACCACAAAGTGTTGCCCCACACGCAATCGTAGTTGGACAGCGTCTGGTTTGCCCTTTTCACGGCTACTATCCACGTTCTCGGACGAACGGAGGGGGCAAACACACATGAAAACTGATCTTCAAACCCTTCCAGGCTCTCTTGGTACAGCCCCCGTCACAGCATTTTGACGAGAAGGCAGGTTTTGCGTCTCGTTTTTTTCCGAAAGAACACAGGAATGCATGTCTGGAACGGCGACTTCTGCCCACCGCTCCAGACCGGAAGTGCGTCCGGCGCGCCACCACCGCGACGCGACGTAGGAGAGTTGAGTTGGTGTATAGATTAGCGGTAGAGTGCTCTGCTAATCTCTGAATAGGGACCTCTCCCCAACTCGCGGGCGAGAGTTTTGCTCTATTTTAGGTGGAGCTTAAATTAATCTTGCATAAATCTTCTTCATCTTGGAGACTTCCCCCTAAATCATACGGTGGTGAGTCGGAGAAAATGGTGTTTCGCCGCGTCTCGGGGGACTTGGGGGGTGCTCACAATATTGAGGCAAGTGTGCGCTGCCGCGCTCGAAGAAATGTGGTGCATCTGCGCATACGCTGCTCTCGGCACAAGGTTGGGTACCGGGCTACAGGAAACAAACAAACGCACCGCGCTAAAGAAAAAAAAAAAAAATTGCAGAGCTTATTTTTTTACGTGAAGATGGAGCACCTCCATCTTTATGTGAACCTTGAGTATGATTCCTAGAGGACGACGTCAAGGACGACCTTAAGGGCAATTTCAAGGGCGATTTCAAGGACGACGCCTAGAGAATGAAGCCTAGAGGACGACGTCTAGGACGACTTCTTGGATGACCTCAAGGATGACTTCTAAAACAACACCTAGAGATAGATGATAACAAGCGATCAGGACCTCATTATCTAATAATGCCAAGGAAGCTGACTCACTCTGGTTGCCCCCTATTTTTATTTTTATTTATTCATACTCGCCACAACCAATCAGGAGTTTTCTGTTGACATGTGAGGACACATTTTACAGCGAAGCTGTTATGCGATAGGATCAGGGACAAAATGTGTTTGCAGATGTTGACAGAAGACTCCCGATTGGTTGCGGCAAGTATGAATAAATAAAAACAAGAAGAGGGGGCCACCAGCGTGAGTCAGCCTTCCTTGGCATTATTAGATAGTGAGGTCCTGATCCCTTGTTATCATCTCTAGGCATCGTCCTCAAAGTCGTCCTTGAGGTCGTTTAAGGCGTCGTCGTCTAGGCGTCGTCCTTGAGGTCGTTTTAGATGTCGCCGTCTAGGCATCGTCTTAGACGTCGTAAAAATAACAGCTTTGCTGGTTCTCCATCTTCACGTGAAGTGGAAGGGCTCTACAATTTGTTTCCCCGACCCTAGCCCATAACAGCTTCGCTGTAATAAGTTAGAAGTTCTGAAAGTATGTTGGAGGTAGTCAGAGTGCTGTCTTCACCAACGCTCGGAGCCGAATATCAAGACAACAACTTAAGCTCGTCACATATGATGCCTGAATGTGGGATCCAAGTCTTTGAAGTTTAGATCCTAAAAACGTATGTGCGGATGGCACTCACTCCAATCAGGTATTCATCAATGAGTATCTGATTGGAGTGACGGGGGGGGGGGGGGGGGGGGGGGTACCATGGGTTCACGCAAACAACAGAGGCAAGCATAGAACAAGTTCATCGTTCGTGATGACGTCATTTACAGGAGGGATCAAGGCCCCATCATCCAACGTTTTTTAGTGTGCCTCCTTGACTTGAAGAGAGCCGAGGTCTCGCACGAGTTCCACAAAGGGAAGTATGGTGCACACATGGGCATAAGAGTTATTCGCACCAAGTACTTCCGGTCAAAACTCTTCAAGGACGTAAAGACCTTTGTAAAGCACTGCGACCTCTGCCAACGTATGAAGATGATAGCCACATGACCCCGCAAAGTGCTGCAACAATAGAGGTTTACCCTCCGTTCCACAAGGTGGGGCTGGACCTAGTCGGATCATTCTGGACATCTCGTGGATACAAGTACATCATCGTTGCCATCAACTACCGCACCAAGTTTTCGGACACCAAGCCAGTGCAGAACATCCAAGGCAGTTACGGTGTAGAGGTCCATCGAGCGTTGGAAAGTCCTAAAGCACGGATCTCCAGCTAATGATAATTACTAATCCCGGCACTCAGATGATGGCACGTTTGACTTCGCCATACGTTCAGCACCTGGCATCTGACACTCACCTACGACAGCGAACCACCCACTGCCAACGGCCTCTGAGAGCGGGCAAACAAAATGCTCAAAGAGATGATCAAGTTGACTACAGCTGGTGGACAAAGTCGGCCAATGTTTTTTACGTGGTCTTCTGCTACAATGCTAGATTTCAAGACACAGTTCGTCAGACACCTTTCTTCCTAGTCTAGGGACGCGATCCGGTATTCCCTCTCTATGTTGTTTACGGCCACCAGGAACTGGTTGATCTGCGGGACGCCTCAGATTATTCAGTCATGGTTCACGAACACCTGAGCCAAGTGCAGAAGTTGGTCGCCGGACACATCAAGCTCACACAACAGAAGCAGAAGAGCTGCCTCGACAGGGGACGCAAGGACGTTGTATTCGAAAAGGACCGGTTCGCGTTGTTAAATACCCAACCCATAGGGCTTAAGGCAACATGACGCTCTACCGGCAGCCACCGAATTGTGAGCCGGCTTTCTCCAGTGATCTACGAGACTGAACTCACGGACAGTACTTGTTGCGATGTGGTGCACATAGAGAGGCTCGAGCCGTATCTTAAACCAATCGCTGAATTCGCGCGGCCTCCCCAGGAGGACTGAACTCGTGTGATCTATAGCACATACGCTCGTACATATACCTTTAGTCTATATTTTTATTCAAAGTGTGACATACTGAGGTATTTAGTGCGCAAGGTAGAGAGAAGAAGGACAAGACAGAAAAGAGCGCTACTCACAACTATGTTTACTGATAAGAAGGGAAGAGAAAGAAAACACCCAAAGAATCCGCCGCGGACTCGTGCATCTGCCACAGCCCCGTGAATGATAGCGGCTAGTTCATCCAGGCTCGTGCGGGCCTTTCATTGTTTGTTCAAGGAATTCCTTTTCCTTGTTTGTTAGCGTTATGGATTCAACGCTAATACAGTTCCTGTCCTCACGAAGGATGTAGAACGCTAACACTAACAACGCTAACAAACAAGAAAAGGGAATTCCTTGAACAAACAATGGAAGGCCCGCACGAGCCTGGATGAACTAGCCGCTATCATTCACGGGGCTGTGGCAGATGCACGAGTCCGCGGCGGATTATTTAAGTGTTTTCTTTCTCTTCCCTTTTTATCAGTAAACGTAGTTGTGAGTAGCGCTCTTTTCTGTCTTGTCCTTCTCTCTACCTCGCGCTAAATACCTCAATATGTTACACTACCAACTAGCCCAAATGTCAACTTTACTGCAATTCAAAGTATGCTTGTGTGTTTACCCCGCATTATCCATTTAATAATTGCTCTGTCAAATGCACTGTCAAGTCGACAGTTTCTAAAACCCCGGCATGTGATGAGTCGGAAAAAACTGAGTTTTGCAGCGTCTCGGGGGAATCGGGGGTGCGCACATACATTGAGGCAAGCGTGTACTGCCGTGCTCAAAGGAATGTGGTGCATCTGCGAGTGTGCCACTCTCGGCTCGAGGGTCGGTTCTGGATTACAAGAGACGGGCGGGCGCTCTATGCTCGGGAAACAAAATAAAGTTAGCTCTGAAAGCACGCTGGAGGTAGTCAGAGTGCTCTCTTCACCTGGGCTCGGAGCTCATTATCAAGTAGACAACTTTAGTTTGTCACACATACTTAATTAGGGCTTCAAGAACAGTAAATATACAAATTTCTGAGAGGGAGCCACAAGAGCGCATAACACCAGAGCGAACGAAAAGCAGGCGCCGCAACATGATAGCATGTTTCATTAGAGCGCAAGTAAACTAGAGCGCTGACTTAAAAGTTAAATCTCAGGAAAAATGTCATCATCCAACCCACTTTTTCTTACATTGATATCTGAAACAAATTTTTGTTTCTGGAAGACAAAAATGAGAAGTAGAATTGTCTCAAGAATGAAAGTACTGAACAATTTCAAAAGGAGCACTCTATGAGTGACAGCAATGACAACTGTGCGGCAATGGATTAAGTTAGGATATAGATAACCTTTGCTTCTGTCAAAAAGGTGGTAGCTTTCTGCTCATCAACCGGCTTTGCAGTAAGCATGACACCAGGGAGCTTTTCTCCTGCGTTTTAAACACACTTTTTAAAATTTTCTTGTCTTCCATTAGATTTGTAGATTTTGTTATTTGAAAAAGTTCCAAACATTTAGGAGCACACGTCCCAAGAGCGCACATTGCGCTGTTGTGATGTGTGCTCTAATGACACGCGCTCATCACATGTCACAGCGCTCTCCTGTCGCGAGCTCTGGTGTCGCGGTGCTCTGCTGTCGTAGCACTCTCCTGTCGCGTGCTCTAGTGTCGTGCGCTCTAGTGTTACACAGCCCAAATTTCTCGAGGCTGCATTCTGCGCAATATCTCAGATTACATCGCTGGAAAGGAGAAGGTTGCCAAGGATACAGCCGACGCAAGCTGCCGCCAAGACCACCTGCCAAGGAAACCCGAAAGCAGCGGAAATGCCGACTTGCTCACCTGATCTCCGAATGCATGCCTTCCGATCACGATGGGCTGCGTCCAGCCGGGCACCAGGCGGGGGATGTTCTTGCACAGGATGGGCTCCCGAAACACTGTGCCACCCAGGATGTTGCGGATGGTCCCATTGGGACTTGGGTACATCTTCTTCAGGTTGAACTCTGCACAAGTTAAACAGAAACATGGCTGCAACAGCAAAGGGGTACCGAAACATAGTAGAGGAGAGCTCTCCCAACCAGCACAGAGTTGGTCAGTCATCGGCCAATGGCTGGCAATGGTCTTTGGCCAAGTGGCCAGACAGTGGCCAGAGACTGGCCGGTGACGGGCCTTTATCTGGCCATTGGCAAATGGCCACTGGCCATCAGCCATCGGCCAAGCATTGGCCAATGAATGGCCACTGTCTGGCCACTGGCCAAAAGACCATTGCCAGACACTGGCCATTGCTTGGCCCAAATCCGTGCTGCTTGGGAGCCGTTTCAATCTAAAACAAACCTGTAGACAACATGACGTTGGCACTTTAACTTATTTCTTTATTGGTACTAAATATCCGATTGTAGATTTTGTAGAGGGTGGGCAGTAAACAATCATCACTGCCAATACACAGAGAAAAATCAACAGGGTCAACACTATGCATATTACAACATTCGAAATGTCAACACGTTCAGGTGTACATAGAAAAGGAAACTTAATGTCACGATACATATCAGGTTTACACAGCAGAGTTTTCTGAGCACAAAGCAAAAATATTAAAGAAAAATTATAATAAAGCTTTTGTACAAATGCGGCATATTCGGCTTGTATAACAACATCATTAGGCAGAAAATTCTAGTGATGTATTGTCCTGGAAAAAAAGAAAATTTAAATGTGTCTACTTTATAAGCATGTTACACAAGGGCCATAACGCCCAGCGTCCTAGAGGCGTAATGTGGAGGAGGGCGGCGGCAAATCTAGCTATTCTTGTCCAGATTCAAGCGGTCATGGGATAAATTAAACAAATTTTAGCCTTCTTTTACAATGAAGTTTAAAGGGTTGAAGGCCAGCAATCATAGAGAGTTCTGTTACAAAGTCAGTATGAGAGTATTTTTTTGTAAGCCAAGCATAAACAGTTTCTTGACCTTTTTCAATTAAATTAACACTAGGTGCTGTAAAGGGGTCCTATACTATACTATCAGCATACTCCAGAACTGATCTGACCAAAGTTTTATATGCTTCTAATTTAATGGTGGATGATGTAGATTTAAAATTTCTTTTTAAGTACCAGTTTATTTTAATGCAAGACATGCAAGATGCGTAATGTGGGAGTTCCATCATAGATCGCTTCTGATAATGATCCCAAGGTATTAATGAAGGTAACTAGTGAAAAGGGGTGACCATGCACATTGTGGTTAAAAAGAAAAGTCATTTTCTTTGCTTTATTTGCATATATACACATTTATAGAACTTTAAGGACATTTGTCACTCCTCGCACCACCTGCTTACTTTATTTAAACCAGCACGCATTCTCCTTGATTTGCGATTGACCTCACTTCAATGTACATGATAATATCGTCAGTAAAAAGGCGTATAGTCACAGGTACATTATGCACAATGTCATTGATAAAAATGATAACTTCAGCAAATGGATGGAAACTACATAACTGTCTGTCACATAAAGCATGTCAGCATGGTTCCTTGCAAACAGGAATCTTTTGAATTGGTACAATACTCTGGAATAGCAGGATATCATCTCAAAAAAGATTAGCTGGGTCACGGTTTACGTTACTATGCGGAGCAGAAGTTTGTCTGCTTCTTGCACAGGGGTTGCGATGATGTCAGAACGCCGAGGGCTTATTGGCCGATTGAGAAAAACAGTGGGTAGACCTCAAGGTATCTAGCATGGAGGTCTACCCATTACTCTTCCAAAGCCAATGAGAACTTGGCCTCGTTCTGACGTCACCGCAACCCCTGTGCAGGAAGCAGATGACCTCTCTCCGCATTTGTGGAAAAACCCAATTGCAAATTTGAAGCGTCCCAAGAGATCACAAACGGAATCAACCTACAGGAAAGTTTGCGATGAATTATTTAGCTAGAATACACCCCTCCAGCAGAATAAGCCTGTCTTAGCTACCTAATAATAAGATGACCTATAATAATAAGAATATTTGTGAGTTCCTAATAAACTGCTGGCCCACATCATTTCTCTGTCTGTCAAAGTCATCTCAGCGGTTGGCTTTCGAGTAACAGGCTCGTCTTTCCGCCTGCTGAAGACATTTACAGCCTGACTGAGCAGGTGCACTGGTGCAACCTTGACCATTTTGATAGATAAACCCTCAATATCTGATATTTCCAGTAAGTGCACCAACCACACTCCTTTATATTCAGCAGAAATATTCTGGAAATTATTACTGCTTTGCTCGGCACCAGATTTATAATTCTAATTATGCACAAAAAAATAACAACAGTAGCTTCTCTAGCGTAGGTTAGAAAATACTCAGACAGAAGTATTTAGACATTTTGGTTGCATCAAACTTGCGCCCAGCGATTTTATGCCAGACTAAGAAAATTCTAGTCTCACCTTCAACCCTTGCCTCATCAGGGGTGATGGTGGCACATTTGATGCCGACATTGTATTTGCGTATTGCGTGGGCAGCATCAAAGGTGACCTGGTCGTCCGTCTTGTCACGGCTGGGAAGACCAAGGTCATAGTACTTGCAGTCCAGCTTCAGGAAGGGGAAGATCAGCTAGAAAACAATGGGCACACATTTCTGATCTGTCCAAATATCCAAATGACAAGGTAATGTAAAAATCTATACATAATATAAACACTAATATGATGCGGTAAATGGTTAGAAAACTGCAAAAGCAGACAAGAAATTTCATGTACACATGTCTGAAACTAGCAAACTTTTGAAGCAAAAGCAAAGAAGAAATTTCATGTGCACATGTTTAGAACTAGCGAACTTTTGACTGCAAAATGGGGCCTGTTACTGCTGCGAGCACTTTCATAATGGCGAATAATTCTCCCATAGACCTCAAATACATGCTACGTAGCTGCATGGCAAAATGCTCGCTTTGGAAACCTCCATCGTCTGTTGCCGAAAAACTCTGTTCACAAAGAAAACCTTTTTTTTTTCTCTTTAAGTATTGCCAAGCACTGCTCTAATGATGCCAACCCACTACAGCTTGGCAGGAAATTTTGGTTAATATGCTGTGGCAGGTGATGCAACACAGCATGCCTTCAGAATCTACCTGATGAAAATGACTCCTCAACTGGTATGTACCACATCCCTTCAAAACTGAAACAGTGGGTGCTCTTGTTAGAATGTGCATCGTAAGAGCTAAGAATCTTTTACACCAACATGCTACAAAAACAAATTTACAGTGCCAACATTTAGAACAAAGTTTCAGTTATTTTACGGAGAAAGGGGACCATTGCAACAAAGTGTTGTCATACCTCCTCCTTGATCTTCTCCCAGATGATCCGGGTCATCTCATCTCCATCCAGTTCCACAACGGGGTTTTTGACCTCAATCCTCTTGTCGGTGCAATCTGGAGAGAACAAAATACACGAGGACACAAAAATAGTCCTTGTCAGCAAATTTGCACAGATACTGTAAAATTATCCAATTTTAAGAGTTTAGCGTTTTACGAAACAATACTCATTAAAGTGCAGACATGGTTGTCATGCATAATGACAATAAATCTGGGGCTCCAGATATGAAGCATGGTGCCGTGGCAATCTTTTTAAAAACATTCAGGTGATGGGGCATGCTGAAATATTCAACTCTGATACAGATCTCCTAATTCCATTTTTTTTGTAGAATACAGGAACGAGCACGGTGAAGCAACTGATTTATTTAGTACTTGAATATATTAATTGATATTAATGCCATGATAAACTGAATTGTACCATGCATCCGCTAATGTCAGAGGCAGCTTAATAATACAGCATGTGTTGCATTGTTGACACATATCCCATCACATTACTTGGGTAGTAATTAAATTAGTGATTTCATTAAATTACTAAAACTTAATTCTATTTAGGAATTGTAATTTCTCATTTCTGAATCTGAGTGACTCATTTAATTACTCTCTAGCCTCTGCGATTGCAAAATAGTAATCACAATTACAACTACTCTTTTCACGGCTTTGTCATACTCGACAGCTCTATGGAGTTGCTGACAGGACAGAAAGTGTTGGGAGTGTTCCTCATTGCCCTTCTGCCAGCTCGTGGGGCCTCACTTTGGAAGCACACTGCCTCGACCGTGTACACACAGCCGACAAATTGTCAGGGCCACAGCACACTCGCAGAAGATGCTTCACATAAAGCGAGAAACAAATGTATTTTGCTGTTAGAATAAAGATAAATATTATTTAAGTTGCGACTTCTTAGCACAATTTAAAGGGGTACTAAAGTGGTTTCCGAGATCATGTATTTATGTTCATAAGACTCGCAACTCAATCTATGGGCTAAGCGTCCTAGAAAACCCAAGATTCATACATGTCTGATTTTCTTTTAAAAACGGGATCAAAGATCACGACACATCCGTTTGTCTGCAGCATAGAAGCCAGAGGGTGCCATCAGAAGTGCAACAGATAATCGTGAATGACCGCTTTCGCGCGTGTACTGGGCGTCACAAGTCTGATGGCACCCTCTTGTTCCTGTGCCAAATCAAAAGAAAAAAAAGAAATCTGCATGGCGAGAGTTTTTATTTTATTTTTAATATGGAAATTGGATGCATATCAGTAATCTTCGGATTTCTAGAATGCTTAGAGGCCATAGATTGAGTTATGACTAGAAATGGACAATTTCAAAAACCAGTTTAGAGCCTCTCTAAGATGGCAGTCATTTCAAAAGCAATATTTGGTTTTGTTCAGAATAAGATCATGCACATGTGTCCGGTCTACACCTTTGGTTTTCCTTGCATTTTGATATGTTACCCCCAATGTATGAAAAAAACAAATTTACAAAAGTTTCGGGGGAAAAAAAAAGTATTTTTTGGGAATTAAAAAAAAAAAAAAAATTAAGACTGCTTTAGAGCGGCTACTACCTCTTATCGTTTAGACATTTTTGCCAAGTTTCATAGACATACTGTCAAAACCGGTCATAACAAAGTCAGCGGGAATCGGAAGTCACTTTGCTATATCTGCTATTTCGTTATAACAGGCTTTGGTCATAACGAAGTTCAAAAGGGAATGGGAAACCGTGACCGCTTCGCTGTAGCCGCTATTTCGTTATAACCAACTTCGTTATATCCGGTCTTAACAGTAATAGAGAAAGTGCAAATGACAGAAAACTCAATCTTTTTTTAAAGATAGTACTACCGTAATATCCTCAGAGGTGTCTCACCCCCTAAAGGTAACCCACACCTACTTTTAATACAATTTGCTATTCAAAATAAATAAAAATTAAATAAATTAACCACAAAAATCTAACTTCTAGTAATTACAGGGCCTTGGCCAATGGTGACCTCGGCATAAATGGTGTTACTTAGTCGCGACGAGAGATAAGCTAACATTGCTGACTGGGAAAAACAGGCGTCTTTGGTTCATTGCCCCTCCATGCAATCGCACGTTTCGCAGATCACAAAATCTAAAACCAGCATTTTTTCAACTTTTCATGATTGTACTGTAAAACAATATTATGATAACTTTTTTTATAAAATGTAGGAGTGATTGAGGCCGCGGACTGTGACAAAAATGTCGGTATGAAAGGTATGTTTCAAAGCACAGTATTTCTGAAGGGGACAAAACAATGTAACATGTTTTAAAGGGATGCTGGACCGAAATATGGATTCCAGAAAACACAGGGCAAAAGAGTGCAACGGATACTACAAACACCAAACATCACTCATACAGCGATCTCTCGAATGGATGATTGTATTTTCCGAAAAAAAGAGGCGCATTTGACAAAAAAATGTTTACGTCCTGTTTCTCCGAGAAGGAGAGGGAATGGCCTCGCGCCTTCTTCGCCTCGCCGCCTTGAGGGAGCGAAGCGAAAAGAGGAGGAAACGCGACATCTCTACGTCACGCACCTTGTTGGCCTGGTTCAATCTCAATCTCTTTTTCCAAAAATACGGCCGTCCATTCGAGATATTGCCTTACGAGTAGTGCTGTAGGGATTGTAGCGTCCCGCCTACATCGCCTGCATTGTTTTTTTTTAAAATCCATATTTCGGTTCACCATCCTTTTAAAGGGAAAATAAGGCGATGTGGTGTAGAATGATTTTACTTAAATTTGAAAAATATATATTTTTGAATTGCCCATTGAATTTGTGGAACTTTTTATCTTGAGACATGTTTGGACCACTGTCAACAGTGTAATTTATAAACTAAAGCAACAATATACATCTAAATTATAGATCCCTTTGCGAAGAATATGAGAAAAAATTTAATAATAAAGATAAAAAATGATATGAGATAACAGCTCGCCAATACTGGGCAAATGTGTCAACATAGCCAAATATGTGCATTTCGAAGCGCTACATTTTAGACTAAGACAAAATAATGCAACATGTTTTTAATAAATAAAAAAACAAAATATGTGTCACTAAAAAAAAATCATTTTTTTTTTATTGTATGAAGTTGCAGAACTTGTTACCTTGCGACATGTTTTAAGTGCTGTAAATATTTCTTCCATCTAGAGCAAGGGTCTCCAAACTTTTGGTTAAGGGGCCGGATTAGCAATCTGTTGAAATCTCAAAGGCAAAAAAAAAAAGTATCCTAATCATAAACAAAGAAAAACTAAATAAACCTAGATAAGCATTTGAACACAAAAATGAATGTTGAACTATTAAAAAAATCCCTAAGTGGATTAATACAGGTGCTTGATTTCGAAATTTAATATTTGATGAATTATGACATTACACAACACGCATTGCCAAGAAAACTCACCACTCATTAATCAAAGTGTATAAGAACTTTGAAACATTCGCCCAGTGCAAAAGACTAATTAGAATGATAAAAATAATGCTGATAATATGCAATCGTTGTGCCAGGGACACTAAGCCCAATGTACATGAGAATGCAATGGAATTTTAACATACACATAAAGTTCCAAAAGAACGCCCACCCAAAATGAAGATATAAATGGTGAAAAACATGGGGTGGGCAATCTTTGGGAATGCCAAAGCAAAATTTTATAAAAAAAATCATGATAAACACACTGACCCTGGCTACAAACCATGTGCCGCGAGAACTGATACCGCAGATCATGGACACCGCAAATTCGCGTTTCACGATGAGATAAACACCCGGGAATTCGCTACGAACTCCTGTGTCACGGGAACAGATACCACCAATCGCTGACGCAGCAGATTCGCATTTCACGGTGCAACATACACGAGGAACAACTCGCGTGTTAAGGGAGCCGTTATCGCACGCGCAGATCGCGGAAAAAAATACGGGAACCCGATTTGAACTCGCTTGTCAGACAGGCCGGTACAGCAAATTGCGCGGTTGATGCAATTCCCGTTGGGCATTGCGGAGGGTGGACGATGTATTGAACTTTTATGTGAGATTTTTAGCCAGAAAAACGGGATGGGCGATCTCTCGGAGGCGGGCGTTCTCTCGGAACTTTACTAGTTACACAGACTTAAAGGCATAAAAATGGTAATGCTGGTGATGACAATGTGAAATCAATAATATGGCGAGAGCACCGTTACGATGCAGTTTCTCTTACAATTCTGGTATCTTAGTTCGCGCATCTGGAACGCGTCGCGGCGCGTGTCTTTACACACTTTTTTTTCTCCACCGCAAGCAGCAGGTCTGCTGGAAGCGGACCGGGGTTCATCGGAAAGACGCGGACAGCCGCGGGCGGATCTGGCCCACGGGCCGAAGTTTGGATACCCCTGAACTAGAGCAACAAATTATATGCTCACAATAGACGCTTATGTTATTAATATATGAAAGAAACATTCCAATGCTATATCTTAAAAACGCTGCGATAATAAAACACAAATATAAAGTAAAAATGTTAAAGTAGCCGTGTTTGCGCATTTTTGACACACAGTATATAGTTTCTATAATTGTAGACATTATTGCAAATACTAGCACTATATACTTGTACGTTTATAAAAGATTCGAGTTTTCTATCATTTGTACTTCGTTTATTATGTGCCGTCAAACTTGGCAAAATGACAAAACAATAAAACGGTAAAAACCTGATGCAGTCTTGATTGCTTTTCTCCGAGAAATTTTTTCATTCAAATCTTTGTGAATCTGTTTTCTCCATACATTGGGGAGTATAGTAATATATAAAAATATGAAGAAAAACGAAAATGTAGAGCGGGCACGCGTGCATGATCTTATCCGAACAGACCCACTTACTGAACTTTCGAGGTGCCTCTAACAGCCTATGGGCCTAGGGAAAGCTGCGCCCATTGGCACACGTATAAAAACAGAAGCATGAAAGTATGTAGGATTTTTTTTTTTTTTCAATTTCAGACAACAATAATCTTGAAACTGAGAGTCCCCTTTCAATTCTTCCAGTGACCACACACAATATCAGATTGCTTTTAATGCAAATCGCAGTAAAAAAAAAAGACGCAC